CGACGCCGTCAATAGGTGTAAAGAAGTACCGTCAGGACACTTTGACCTGATTTTCATGGATATTGTCATGCCGCAAATGGACGGTGTGTCTGCGACGCAGTTGATCCGCGAGGTCCACCCCGATGTTCCTGTTGTCGCCATGACCTCAAACATTCGACCTGAAGACATTAGCCACTACTTTAACTGGAGTGAGTTTTTTTTTTTTCTTCCCCCCCCCCCCCCCTCTCCCCCCCCTTCCTCCTTGCGCCATCCCCTCTGTTCCTCCCCCCGACAGTCGTTGACGAAGAATACTTGACAGGCCTTAACGATGTGTTGGCGAAGCCGTTCACCAAGGATGGTATGCTGCGCATTCTCCGAAAGCATGTCCCTCACCTCCTGAAGAATGCACCACCGGATGAGCTCGCCGTCGGCCACGGAGCGGCACAGCTTCATTCCAACAACACAATGAGCGTGCCACCGATGAATCCCCAGGTCAAGTTTGACTCGACGCCAGGCCAATCCCCTGCGACAACGGCCTCCTGGCATTCACCCGGACAAATACACCAACCGTCCCCCAATGTTACCAATATCGAGACGGGATATCCCATGGCGAACACGGCCCAAATGGTCATTACGCCAACCTCAGCCCAACGACCAACGTTTCAGAACATGACGCCTGGGATGCAGCAGATGCGTGTGCCCGACCACCTCGTCGGCGATGACCGGCCAGAGAAGCGGCAGAGGTTGTACGGGCCCCAAAGTGGATACGCTTAAAACAAACCCTTCTGAACGATGGAGCCGTGGTATATATAGCATTGCTGGCTGCAGACAGGGTAATGAGTTGCGCCCAGATCGGCGCCTTGGTCGGCAGGCGTAGAATATGCGCATTATTGGCCTGCTGAGAGATTTTTACATTATTTTTACAATATCATTTTTCCGCGAAGTAGGAAACGACAAGTGGTCGACTTCGACATATGTCGAATGAAAAGGAGGGTTGTCGTCGACTTTTTCTTGGGTTTTGCTTGGCCACCAGCATGGGTTGGCCGATGGGAAGCGACTGACGATGTCCCGAGACAAGAGGACATGTCGCCCCACCGGTGCCGGCATGGATGACGACGGGAGAACATGGGCCCGAGATGGCTACTCGGCCTCGTTTTTGTTTGGATTTCGTGATCGGAGTTGATGGAGTCTTTTTGGTTCGCACCCATGAACCACGGAGGAAGGTATACGGTATGAGGCGAATTTGAAAAGGAGAAGTGCTGTCATCTACAAGAGACATGAGCTCGTCATGAATAAACATTACCACGGGGCGCACCTAGATCGGAGAGAAGAGCAGACAGGCATCGGTCAGTGGGAAAGTGAAGCTTTTGACAGTGACCAAAGTCGCTCGCGTTGCTGTCAACGCGGACCGCCCAGACCGGCCTGCAGCCAGCATAAGCACAGTACCTAGACTATACTACCTGCAGCAGCACACTGCCTGCGGTAAGTCCCTACAGCGTTTGTTTTGTACGTCCGAGAACCGACATGTTGGAATGGTCCAGGGTTCCTTGCAGCTGAGAGGGTACAGGACCCTTAATCCATGTGCCGGGAATGGGCGGGTTGCAGGAAACGCCGTGGGAAACGAAGGTCTGGGTTCGCAGAGTAATTACGGAGTAGACGACCGACCCTTTTTTCCTTCCGCCCCGCACGCACATGCGGTCGATGGCGGTCTAGACCCGGGGCACGATGGCGCCCCAGTGGTCTGATGCGCTGGGGCCCATGCAAGGCGGCCGCCCGAAAGGGTCTGGAACATCTCCCGACCATGAGGGTTCCGAACAGAAAAAAGTGTGGGTGGGTAGGTGGACTTTTTTCTGTCCGAAGAGAAGAGGATAGGGGAGGGGCTCGTTCCCCCTCTACACTTTCTCCGGGGTGGTTTTTTTCTTTTTTTTTTTTTTGAATTCCCTCTCCCCCCCCCCCCTTTCTCTTCAGATGAAAGGAAAGTTCCGGGATGTGACCCGGGGGAGGAAGGGGAACTTTGTAGGGCTGACGGAACTCCGACGAGTAACGGGGTGCAATAGGTGGATGCAACTATGCTCCGTCACGGGCGTGACTATGGAGTCCATTGGCACCGTAACGATGGCGGGGACGGACGCCGACGGACCAGGGAGGACGGACGTGAGGAGGCGCTGGGGATCGACGGCCTGGAGGAAGGAGGAAGAGAGAGGGATGGAGGTAGAAGCCCGCAGAGGAACAAGACGGATCGTGTGCGTGGCCGAAAGAGCAAATTGGAGGAGGAGGAGGAGAAGGATGAGAAAAGAAATAAAGAAAAGAGATGTCGCAATGGAGAACGGACACCGTCCGTCGGGGGGAGCTGCGAGAGTTTATGGTGCAAGTGAAAGCGGAACGTGGGAGACTGGAGGGGAGAAGTGAGGGAGGGAGCATACATGTAGCGGGTATCCATATTCTGGTAGTTTCGAGCGGCGGAAACCAACACGCAGACAAGCTGGCTGGTTTGCTTGCCTGCCTGCCTACCAGCTAGACTGTGACGGATCACGATGAAGGGACCAGACCGTTGTTGCCAATGCTTCTAGCCGCTGCTGCCGTCACCCGTGGACCGGGTCTGGCCCACGGCGGTCAGGCGAGACGACGTCAATGCAACGTGATGGACCGGACCAGGCCCGCCAAACGAGGCAACTGACTTAGGTAGTCAAAACTTGATCCCCCTCCCCCAAACAAACGACATGGAGGGGTTCTTTCTTACTTTGAGTTTGGGTAACAGGACGGGGGAGAGCTACTCATCGTCCCCGTGTGGAAGGGTCCAGGGGTGGGATACGACGTATAGGGGAGCTGTGGAGGGGAAAGGAGTAAAGAGGTACTGTAATAGGTACTTACAGGCAGGTAGGTTCGGCGGAAGCGAACCCGACGACTCTGCAGCAGATCGTCCCGTGTAAAAGAAGCAGAAGGGGGGAACTTGCAAGGGTTGCATGGCGGGATGGGTTGATGGGTATGTGCTGTAGGTTTATGCGAGATGCGGTTAAGTGTGGGCAGGCCGAGGAAACGGTCCAATTTTTCATGTTTATTTTTAATTTATTTTTCTGGTGGGTGGGGAGGGGGGGGAACGGACGGGCGGGAAGGACACGCGATGCGACCCGGAGCAAACTGGAGCGAGCGAGTCGGTTTTGGCTTGTTCTGCTTGCCCTGTTAGAACAAGCTTGGCTGCATGGGAGGGATACCTGGAGATAAAGAGGGAGACAGCGGGTGAAAAAGAAAGTTCAATGGACCGGTCTAGATCTTGGGAGACGGACGGCTGTACATGGGTCTCCATGGCGTGCGGCAAACAAGTGCTACCGGCAGAAGGAAGGGTCCAGTATATGAAACCCAAGTGGCTGAACGACTGATGATGATTGCTACCTACCTAGGCAGGTAGGAAATGGTGCAGGTACATAACTAGTATGTAAGGAACCGTTGGTGACAGCGAAGGCGCGGGTGGTTGGTTATATGGTTTTAATATGGTTACATGGTCATACGGTATGGTCCGTCATATGGCAGAGGCGGGGTCTTCCTACGTCTTCCTCCTCCATCTCTCTCTCCCTCAACTCGCAACTAGGCCGACCTGAAAGAGGAAAGTTCCAGGGCTTCAGCCGCTGCATCACCCGGAATACCAGCTCTCTCCGTGCTTGACGTCTCTGAGGTGGGCGATCGGCGATCGGTCGAGTGTCTCGACGACCGTGGCTGGCTGGCTGGATAGGTTCGGGAGGGGAACTACATGTTTTTTCTTTTCTTTTTTCCTTTTCTTTTCGCCTTCAGCTTGCATTCCTTTGTTTCCGAAGCGCTCGTCGCCGTCCCTCTGGACCTTGTCGACTCCCACCCGTATGGCGGTTTGTTAACCACCCGAACACGGGAGACGGGACCATGGGATTGGTGACATTGCTGGGCCTTGGCCGCCATGGCCGCGAAACACACCTTACAGAGGCGCCTCTTGTGTTTCTTTTCTGTCGCTTTTTAGCCTCTTCCGAACATTGCTTTCGCAAGCCACGTGTCGACGAGGCTTCGGAAAACTCAGACCATGAACGGTGCGGTTAGGAAGGGGCGAAAGACGCAGACTAGCAAGCAACCGCGTGGCAAATGGGAATACTTGTAGTCAGTTAGGTTCGAATCCTATCGGCGTCACATTTTGGGGTTGTTGGCACAACTGTTTCTTTGCAACAGGGAACAGAATCTGAATGTCCTCGGATTGCCGACCACAGCACGCGGGTCCCAAAAATATACCGCCGGCTTGTCAGAGGCGCCTTACCCAAGCTTGCAGTGTTGGTCGGCGGTGATGTTATTTCGGAACCCGCGTGTCTGGGTAGGCTCAACAGACGAGCCCGCCCGGTGATGTGATCTGGTTCGGTTAATCTCGTCCCGTAGGGGGGTCTGAGCCGGATCCCACGCTGGCGTGGTTCGGCTGGCATGATCGGTGTGGGTGACAGACTCTGAGACGAGACATGAGAGGTGCCAGTGTGAGGCGAGAGTGATGTGAAATGTCACCGCCGAGAGCTAGACCCTCCGCTCCTCGACGGGGGAGGGGCTAGAGCTCACTGTGGATCTGTCATCGCTCGGGCGGACACGTCGTGTAACGGTCCATCGCAGGTCAGGCTCGCTGCAGCATCTCGTTGCATATTTAGCTCCCCCTTCCATCCAGCTGTCATGTCTTGTTTTTTTGTTTTTTTTTTCATCGTAGTATCTGATGGCACCGCCCCCCTCATCCATGTCCCACCGGCGAGAGGGGCTGACCTTGTTCGCCCCCGTAATAATAGGTTCAACCGCAGCTCACTTGTCGCATGTCAACTGCGCCGCTTGGACGCCTGCATCGGTCCCCATCCCAGACGCTCCAGGCGGCTTCGTGATTCTCGAGAAATAACCCGCCCTGGCGGGCCGTGGCTTCGTGGAAGCTTGGCGATGGGGGGCCAGCCGCCGTTTACTCGCCCAGGGAGAAAGCCATGGCGTGCCGTGCTCTTATCTCTGGCATTTTTTTTTAATCTTCTTCTTCTCCTACTGATTCAGTGGCTGGACGGGGCGGCGCCTCGAAAACGCCTCGCGGGTTCGGCGGTGTTGGGGGTGGTGTTGGGGGGGAGGATATCGGACCCGTCGGCATCGAATTCTTTGCCGTCAATACTTTTTGCATTCGGTCTGTAACCCCTCCCTTTACGGACCGTCTTCCAGAACATGAGGCTTTCTGAGCCCTTGGCAATCCCACCCCTCCCAGTGGTCTGATGGTGGAACCCTGCGGGCTGGGTCACGATGATAGGGAGGACGGTGGAGGCACGCGGGATCATGCAAGAGTCGTGGTTTATGGCTCCGATCTCGTACGGTCGGCCAATGAGATGCGCTCTCCTTCGTTGACTGAGGGCTCCTCGGGCTGTGATACGGCGACGCGGGACGATTCGGTTTTCCTCCTTTTTTTTGTTTCTTGCTTTTTATAGCAAGCGCTGGAGAGAGTGTGAGTCAATGGCTAGGCGGTTTTCGGGCGTTTCTACCAGGACGATTTGCTCTGGTGTGTTGGCTACCTGCGTGTGATCCGGTGTGTATCGGACCGCCTTTTGCGGGCGAGACATGGTGACTTGACATTATATTAAATGCCAACCAGCCTGGAGCTTTGACTTTTCACATTGGCCAATGTTTTTCTACCAACGATTTCATCAAACACGTTCTTCGACTTCCGCTTAGTTAAGTGACGAGATGTGTACGAGTCGTATCAAGTTACTCTAGGTGACGTATGTATACTGGAATATATACATATATACGTGGTAATGTTCATGTCTAATAACCCCTGGTCCCCCGGTCAGCGACATTTGTGCTGCTAAATGACAACGAGTGACGAAGCTCGCCGCATCCATCTTTACTCACATACTAGGTTCCAAGCGCCACCTTAGTATTGGCCTTGGCTCGACCAGTGTCGATTTCTTTCCGCTGACCGATACCAAATATTCGTGGGAAAACCTCGTGCGAGCGAAAGCTGGCGAAGTTCCACGCGGGGCCTGCGGTAAGGATGGCGTGGACCTTGATAATCGACCTGTAACCGCCCCCTTCTTCTCTTCTTCGCGCCTTACCAAGAGCCTCTACACAAAGGATGAAGGTGTAGTGCCGGAGCTGACCACAGTGCTGATGATGCCATGGTAGTTCACCAGCAGATCTCTGTCTGCGTGGAGGTCCTGCTGCACCCAGATAGATTGGACGAGGTTCCTCAGACCTTTCAGGCTTCTCGTGCGTGCGCTTCTCTCCGTCCTGTCAATCAGACCGATGACGGCCGCGCGTCGCTCGTCCGTGCGCGCCTCGCAGGCGAGAATGAACATGGGAAAGAAGTGCCTGCAGGAGTAAAAGGTGGTGATCCGGACGAACTGCGCGTCGATCATAGAGTCCAGGTCGGCGGACTGTTCCCATCGGTTCTGCGAAGCCCGCGCGAGGTAGACCCGCGTGGCGATCCGCCATATTTCTGCGCCGTATACGATGTCGGCGTCCTCCTCGGCCCCGTAGTGCAGGTGGAGGCTCTCGGCTCTCCTCTCGAGCGCTCTGAGGTTGGCGTGGTAGTCCGCGTCGCGGCCCTTCGGGTCCCACGGGTCTAGTAGCCTTTCGCAGACTTCAGATAGCAGGTTCAGGACTGCGTGCGTGACATTAGGGGCCGGCATTTCCTGCGAGACCATGTCAGTAGACGCGGCGAGACTGCCTGCGAGGGATTGCCAGCGAGCTTTACTATTCTGTACGTCTGCAAGGACGGAGGCCGAAACTCTTGTCCGGGGCTGCAAGGCTGCGCGGCTGCCGCCCCAGGAGGCAATGGCCTGTGACGCCAGTGATGTATCGGGAAATGGGAAAGCGTGTTATGGAAGTGAACCCAGTCGAGAAGGTGGCGGACATCGCTTTGGTCGGAGTAGTCTTTGAGCCTGGCCGCCTGGGTGATTTTCATGGCCCCCCAGACGTACCAAAGCCACTCGCCCGAGCTTTCTGACGGTAGGAAGATCTACGTCGGAGAAGGTGTTTTGTTCTTGTAAGTACGAAAGACCACTTTTGTGTTTAATACGCGGTATTGACCGGAAACCCACCTCGAAAGCACCAAGGAGCATCAATGCTGCCGCATGCCGAGCAGCCTCGGCCGAGCTTAACGTCCCTCCTCTCGTAGAAGCCGACAGGAACCGAAGTGCTGGTATTTTGAGCTGTGCCGTCTGCTGGTGGAGCCCGTCACGGTGCAGCGAGAAGGCGAGCATCGCGGAGTGAAGCGCGAGGCGCGCGGCGGTATCGCGGGCCCGGGCCATGCGCATGAGTGTCTCTCGCATCTGAGAATTCGTCGCAGTGAATGTGGCCAACGAGAGGTAAGCGGTGCTTTGGACTAAGTACAGGTAGGTGTCTACCATGAGCCTCGTCTCACCCCGGATCATGCGGCAACCCTGCTGCAGACTTACAGTGCTGGATCAAATCTGCATGGCTTCTATCTGACGGAGGCTGCATCGACAAACTTGGACCGGGCTGGGCCGGCTGAAGAGGCTGTGTCGGCAACGGGGCATTGCGGTATAGCTCTACATCCTGCGAAGTTGTGTTGACGAAGAGGTCGAATCGGCGACTGGGGCACTTGACCGCCAGTGGAGATATCCCGGTGATCGCACGTTTCCTGTCATTGTTCTTGGGCCACGACAGTCGGACTTCATACCCTTGGCAATCCCGCTCAGCTCGGGCGCACTTTTGGCAGCTGGGGAAGCCCCCGTCACACCGAACTCTCCGGGCTGGAGGAAACGCGCGGTCAGGCAAGGTCCTTCTAGGCTCATGCCAGCGGCCAGAGTGTTCACTGACCTGTACACGTCCAGCAGGTCTTTCGCGGCCTCATCGTGCTCCTCGGTGGCATCGGGCGAGAATGTACGTAGTGGGGTTTTGACTGGCATGAGACGCCGAACGCGGGCGGAACCTCCGGCGTTATCAAAGCCCCGCGAAGGATCCAGGTCGCTTACATACATACACAGGATCTACAGAATAGGTGTAGCGCCGGGTCTCGTCTGTCCTAACTCCGACCCGGACATGTGGCCGGCGGAATCCCCATCAGTAGGCCCGCCAACAACCCGCCCTTCCCGTCATCCATCGGCCCCACCATGGGCAACTTTCTACGAGGCGTCGTAGGAGTCATTGTGCATATGATACTACATCCCGTTGGATGCTAGTCCCTATTTGGCAATAGTTTAACTCGTCCACCGCCCGTTTCTGATCAGACCCACCTGAAGCAACTTTTATCGAGCTCTGGTGCCTGTTTCCTCCTTCCAGATGCATCTATTCCATGATGCGGCTCGAAACAAGCAGTACCGCAGGAACCTTTTGGCTGGTTACCTCACCTCTGACTGGCACGGATTGAGTGGCGGATTCGTAATGGGTTGGAAATCAGGTAGCAGGTCTATGCATGTTCTTGAATGGCGGCAGGACTCAGTAGCTGTGACTTGTCCGTCTATATAAAGGAGCGGCTCGGTGTTCGAATGAATGAGACTGAAATTCACGACACAGCTCCCATCTCAGCAACATCTCTGTACTTATTCCCTCTCCTCTTGGTAAAACACTACAAACACTTTTGTTCTTCTTGCACAAAGGCTCCCAAAGTGCTTCGACATGGCTACCTATCTAGTCACCCAGGCAACCGGCCAGCAAGGCCTGGCGACCATCGCGCATCTACTCGCAGCCGGAGCCAAAGTCCATGCAGTGGTGCGCGACCCCGGGAAAGTACCTCCGGCCCTGAAGAGACAGGGCGTCACAATCTTCAAAGGCGAAAGCTCAAACCTCGACGAGATCTACCAGGCGGCGCAAGGATGCAAAGCCGCCTACCTCAACACGTTTCCCTGGCAAGGGCTCGAAACCCGGCAGGCCAAGACAATCGTCGAGGCCTGCGAGAAAGCGGGCGTCGAGGGCATCGTTGGCTGCACCGCCGTCGCCGTGGGCGACAGAGCCCTATGGGACGACGCCGCGACCGAGGAGGTCGGCCTGCGCCCGTACTTCCTGTCCAAGTCCGAGGTCGAGGACGTCATCCGCAGCGGCAAGTTCAAGGCCTACACCATCCTCCGGCCGGCGGTCCTCCAAACCGACTTCACGCTGCCCACGGTCTTCGGCAACTTCCCCGGCCTCCCGAGCGGGGAGCTGGGCCACGCATGCAACGACGGCGTCCGGGTGCCTTACACGGACACGGAGGACGTCGGGAGGTACGCCGCGGCGGCCCTGCAGGACCCCGGCAGGTTCGGCGGCCAGGAGATCGACCTGCCAAACGCATACCTCACCATGGAAGAGGTGCGCGACGTGCTTGTCAGGGTCAGCGGCAGGGAGGTCCTCGTGAGACAGCTGACCCCCGCCGAAGTGGAGGTGACGAAGCAGGCCGCGCCCGGCATGCTGTTCCAGATCTGGGCCAACGGGAAGGACTTCACCGCTCTTATGGACGCGGCCGAGGAGACCCAGGTAAAATTCGGTATACCGTTTACTTCGCTTGAAGCCGGGCTGCAGAGGGACAAGGCGCGCCTCTTGGAGTGCCTTCCGGCTTGATCGGTCACCTTTATCATATGCCTGCTTCGGCGGTAAACCCTGTATGATGATCTATCCTCAGTGAACAAGCAACAGTTACATGCTCAATAGGATACAATACATGCTCAAGAGTGCATTGCTTCTGTGGCTGTCTCCCCACCATGACGAATAATTCTGAGCGGAAAAGACATCAAACAAAGTGACATTAACACGGCATGTTTGCGTGATGCACACCAGAGGAAACAATAGGGTTTTCATGCGGCTATCATGTGAGTGAAACGGCTTGTGAATTGCCATGTCCGAGAACAGCCATACAGGAAAATAAGGCATTGCACATGTCGTAGAACGCTGTGGTTCGATGAGCCTGAGATCATCATAGTTTGGTGTACCGGGCTTTGTAATTCTGATTGCGCACAAGTAGATTCACAGGGACGTACTGACATTTACCGTAGCATCTAATGCTACTGAATCCTATAAACTGTCCTGAATTCAAAAAACCTGTCTGTGGACTCTTTCTTTCCTAGACAATATCACATGCATATCTTATGGAACTGGCTGTAAAGAGGATACGTGTGTCAAATTCCAAAAACAGCATGCGAGCTCCACATGTACCTTTTGGGACTCTATGGAGGCAAAAGTATCCATGTTCTCGGCGAATATTTCGGCTACGACACCGTTGTGGTGGTGGTGGTTTCATCGACTTTGGTCCTGGCACTCGCAAGCGTTTACCACACGAACTCCGCAATGGTATCTAAACTCAACGAATATGGAACACTTCACCTTTGACACCCTGCTTCTCGCCGCCCGGGTGTGTCTCCATTTGTGCCTTGATCAACTCTCCGTACATGATGCCTTCGACATAACACTCCCCAATCAGAATGTAACTGTCCTGCATTGGCCGCAACACAGAGGGCACGTCTCCTCCCGAGAGCACAACGATGACGTCCCCCTTGCGCACTGTATCAGTCTCTAACCAAGGGGTCTGGTCTGTGTGTGGGAGCGCGAATGTGTCCGAAGTCGCGTATCCAAGATGAACCGACGTTGACACTCCAACTCAGGGTAAGCTCGTGGTATGCCTTGGATCCTGCATCAGTCGAGTTTCGCGTTATGTTGACGGTCTGGTTTGACAGAAGGCTGAGGTTCATTTCTTCAAATACCAGATATCTGGAAGCTTCTTCGTAGAGATCCTCGACTGGCTTGTCATAGTCGACCACGATCTTCTCGTTGACACTGGAATTGGCCAGACCCATGTCACCATATATCTTGTCTCTAGGGTTAGTCGCCAGAGATTATTCGCTCATGAAGATCAAAGCAGAAAGGCGAAGGCCATTCTTAGATATGTTAGGAGTTTCGAACAGCTGCCGTAGCAGAACAAGCCTATCGAGCGTACGGAAGTTGAGCAGGTGGTGTAGATTCTTCCAGGCGGGAAGCGTCAGTGTACTGTGTTGTTTGAGGGCTTGGTTGAGGGATTTCGTGATGCCCCAGCAGAGCTTAAGGTGTGTCAAGAGTGCGATGCTTCCCGCAAACGAACATGGGGTCTTGTCGGGGCAGTGCGAGTTCTTGGATGATCCATGTGCGGCAAAACAAGGGTAGGTTGACAAACTCGACGAAAGCCTGTTCGGTTTCGTCCGGGGAAGCTTGCAGAAGCTCTTCGGCAACCTGTGAGATGCCCTCCGGCTCGATTGCGATGTTGTGCTCAAAGACCCTCTGGATTGAGTTGAAAATGCGAGTGAGCCCCGGCGTCGACTCGCCAAGCCAAACGAAAAGCTCAGTGGCTCCTTTGTAAATGTCTCTCATGAGTGGGACCTGGGTGTTCTTCTCCTGGTTCGAGTTCTGATTGATGCAAATCGCATCGATCCAGGTCGTTAGCGGAGAATCTTCTCGGCGAAGGTTCACAAGACAGCTGTGGAGGTGGCGGGAAATGAGAAGTGGCGTGTCGCCGACCCTGACCTGCTGTAGATCATCTTGAGACCCCCAGCAGTAGGATAGAATGGTGTAGTGAGGGTTATCATTGAGCGAAATTCGTGATAGATCGAGTTTCAAAGCGTCGTCGTTAGTCCCGGGTCCGAGGCTGAGCACGCGGATTCCCCGTCTGGCAGGCTCAAGAACTAGTATCTCGTACAGGTCTGCCTGAGAGGTCATGAAGATGACAATCGGAAAATGCTGTTCTTGAGGGTTATGAAACAGTAACGGGTTTTCTGGCTGTGTTTGACACTGATAGAATTCAAAGGAGGAGTTGGCTTGGATGCCAGCCTAATTTCATGCATGTCAGACAACCCAATGAAGAGGGGAAATGCGGTTCAATCAGCAGTCAGACCCCGTCGTCATGCTCAAACCACTTTAGGTACTTTAGGTAGCTGGATGTCCACGATCCCTACGCCTAAGCTTGCCGCAGTATCATTGTATCCCGTTGAGTGCCAAGTGACCTCACATGACCCAAAAATGGGTCTATGTACATAATTACTGACAGCTATTGGACAGTCAGCCTGGATTGCTGTACTCTTATTGGTCTGCGGTTATGTGAGGTCACTCGGCACTCAATGGGATAACCATCACATGGGCTGGAAGGCGGCTATTCAATGCAGGGTTATGCTTAAAGAGCAGCAGAGAAAAAAGCTAGCACTAGAAATAGTGCCTGGAAGCAGAGAAATAACAATTAAGTTGTGCAATTCGAGAGGATCAGCAAAGCAAACATCAGTACAAAGTATTGTTGCCCAAGAAGAAAAGCAAAGATAGTTTTGTGATTTAAAAGTAGAGGAGCGCAAAATCAGGATCATAAACACAGTAATTAAACCTAGTAATACCCTGCCTAGGTGATCACAATGGGTCAGGCAGCGTAACAAAGACTGGCACTGTTTGTGCTCAAAGAGTCTATATTGACTTTGGAGATTGTTGTGAGTAACAGGTTTGACATCGTGATAGAATCTGAAGAGATATAGATTTTGACATCGAGCAACGTTGCCAAAGTTTCCGTTACTGCATGCTTACTTAAACACGAAGTTCATTTCCGTTTTATTAAAAACGGATAGTCTTTCCGTTTGCCTGAAAACGGATACTATCTTTATTTAATCAGAAACGAATCACTACGGAGTAAGGATGAGGTTGACGTTGTCCCGCCAATGACTAAGCAACAGGGGGCCCATCCCGGCCCTTTACGCGAGAAAACGCGTCTCAGACGCGACCGCAGCCCATCCACTCGGCTGCATTTTCGAGTTGCCCCGGTAAACTACCCAGCGAAAGCGATCCTTACAGCCCTGAGCAAATCGCAAATTGCCCGCTTCCAACAGCACTCCAGTACCCAGAGATGCCCCATTCCGTGTCGCCGGAAGCAAACCCAACATCCAACGATATCGCAGTCCGCGACGAAGCAATGGCCGACTCTCCAGTTCAACCCACCGCCAGCCAGGCGACTGACGGCGACGTCGCGATGGCCGAAGTCGATGCGCCTGCGCCCGCCACCGAGGAGAAGAAGGATGTCAAGTTGGAGGACCTGTTCATAGACGGAGACTCGGACGACGAGTTTCCGAGCTCAAAACCACAAGACTCGCCAGAGTCGAGTTCTCCAGGGATCGCGACGCCCCCTTCGCCAACGTGGGTTCGCCGGCATCGATTCGAGGGCCGCATGCTAACGCGGGGTACAGAGACATTGCGGATCTGAAGGCTTCAGACCCCGAGGTGATGCGCAGTTTCTACCAACGCCTGTTTCCTTGGAGGTATCTCTTCCAATGGCTGAACCACAGCCCGACGCCGACAAACGACTTTGGCCACAGAGAGTTCGCCTTCACGCTGCAGAACGACGCATACCTACGATACCAATCCTTTGCTACACACGACCTGTGAGCTTCTAAACCCACCTCTGCCAACCGGAGACATAGAACTGATCCTCTTCCAGCCTGCGGAAAGACGTCCTCCGCCTGATGCCCTCCCGTTTCGAAATCGGCCCCGTCTACAGCACCAACCCGCGCGACCGCAAAACCCTCCGCAACGCCAGCGCTTTCAAGCCCCTCGCGAAGGAACTGTGTTTTGATATCGATCTGACGGACTACGACGAGATCAGAACGTGCTGCGACAAGGCCAACATATGCATCAAGTGCTGGCAGTTCATCACCATGGCGATCAAGGTCGTCGACGTTGCGCTGCGGGACGACTTCGGCTTCAAGCACATCATGTGGGTCTACTCCGGTCGCAGAGGTGCCCACGCGTGGGTGTGCGACAAGAAGGCGCGGACAATGGGCGACCAGATGCGTCGGTCGATCGCGGGGTACTTGGAGGTCATAAAGGGCGGCGCGCAGAGCGGTAAGAAGGTGAACTTGTGGCGGCCGCTGCACCCTCATCTTTCGTAAGTCACTTCCGGTCACGGTCCGAGGGTTTTTGAAGTTGCTGACGGCCGCGCGCAGACGGAGTCTGGAGACTCTCAAATCCCACTTCCAAGAAGACGTCCTTGAGGCGCAAGACCCCTGGGCCTCCAACGAGCGCGCCGAGCGCCTCCTCCAGCTCCTCCCGGACAAGAACCTCAACGAGTCGCTCCGCAAGAAGTGGGACGCCGCGCCGGGGCGGTCGTCCGTCTCCAAGTGGGCCGACATCGACACCGTGGCCAAGAGCGGCGCGAGCAAAAACCTCGACGCCAAGGCCCTGCTCGAGGCCAAGCAGGACATCGTGCTCGAGTACACGTACCCGCGACTCGATATCGAGGTCAGCAAGAAGCTCAACCACTTGCTCAAGTCGCCATTCGTCGTCCACCCCGGCACCGGTCGCGTGTGCGTGCCGATCAACACCAAGAGCCTTGAAGACTTTGACCCGCTGGGTGTGCCGACGGTGCAGAGCCTGCTTGCCGAGATTGACGCGTGGAAGGGCGAGGAGGACGCCGAGGGCGGGTCACAGCAGAAGAGCGTGCAGGATTGGGAGAAGACGAGCCTGAAGCCGTACGTGGAGCAGTTCCGGTCCTTTGTCATTGGGTTGATGAAGGATGAGAGGGACGGCAAGGTCAAGAGGGAGAGGGAGGAGGATACCATGGAGTTTTGAGAACAAAAAAACACACAAATCGACACGACTTGCATGAAGGGTTTATTTGGTTACTGGGTCGGTGTTTTCCTGCCATTACTTCTATTTTTTCGTCTTTTTTTTTTTTTCCCTCTGGGAACAGCAACGGCGAGGAGGGGGTATTTCTATTACTTTTAATCGCCTGCCACGCCGGGCTATGAACCACTCACGTTCCCCTTTGCGCTTTCTTGAGCCCCAGCTGATGGTTCGGGTGCTGCCGCGTTTTCCGTGATGGTCTGCTTCTCATCCACGTCTTCGTCGTCCTCCTCGTCAAACCTGCTATCCTCGATCTTGCCATCCGCGCCTTCTGCAGCGGGGGTTCCGTTGGCACTGCCGGCGTCGCCCCGCTCCTTGAGCTTGGCCTCCTTCCGCTTAGGGATGACGCTCAGGAACGCCTCCGCCCAGCTGCCCGTCTCGAGCCACTTGAGCATAATCTCGACAACATGATTCGTCGCGAGCACTCTCCGGCTCGACAGGTTCATGTACTCGCCGATAGGTAGCTTCGCCGTCCGGATGCCCATCTCCCTCGCGCGGCGGTGGCACAGCCCCTTTTCGCGGTTACGGTCGACGAGGCCACCGATGACGTAGCTCGTGTTGGGCTCGAGGCGGTCGAGGGTGTTGACCGAGTCGGAGGAGAGGTAGACGATATTCTTGAGCTCTTCGGCGGGTTCGGGTTCGGGGTCCGGGGTGGGTGCCGAGCTGACGGTGTCCATGAAGACGGCGGGCTTCTTGGCCGCCCCGTCCTCCGCGGTGGGCTTCAGCAGGTCAATGACCTGCCCACCGCGGGGCCCCTTCATCAGCTCGTCCGCGGCCTTGGACGCCTCGACAAAGTCCCCTTCGACAAGCGTCACGCCCTTCCAGTGCACGTGCTGGCTCCCCAGCGTCGTCTCGAAGCGTTCCTTCAGCTGGCCGCCGTACGAGCTTACGTACAGGTGCGCGCGGTACCTCGCGGCGCGGTTGTCCGAGTAAGAGCGGGTGATCTGGCTCGCGAGGGAGACGAGCTCCTTCTCGAGCATGTACTTCTCAAAGTCGCAGTCGAGGATCAGGGTGACGGGCACCTGGACCGAGGGCTGCTTGGGCGTCTTGCGCTTCGGGGGGATGGTGACGGAGGCCGGGTCGACGCCCTTGGCCTCGGCCTCGGCAAGTACGGCAGCGATCTGCTCGCGCCGGGCGACCTGGCGGTCGTGGCGCTTCTCCTTGCGCTTGCGCTTGCGGTCCTCGCGACCGTCCTCCCACGCTGCCTTGCGCTTCATCTTGCGGAGCTGGTTCTTGGAGATTTTCGGCTCCCCCTCTGCGTCGGCGGAGCCGGGTCCGGCAGCGGAGGATTCGACATCGGCTTCTTCGCCTTCTTTTTCCTCGGAGGCTTCGGGGGCGTCATTTTGAGTAAAACCACTGATGCTTGTTCCTGTTGGTGTTGTCGTCGTCGTCTTCGTCGTAGGATTCGGTGCTGCTGCTGCTACTGATGCTGCGCCGTCGCCATTGTTGGTCGTGGAAGGGACGGCAACTTCTTCTGACCCTGCGTCAGGCATTTCGAGGTCCCTGGCTGGCTGGTTGACGGGTTCCGGCGCGGAGGTTTTCATTCTTGGGGCCGTGGTGCTGAATATGCGTGCAAAGTTTGGGGAGGGAAGTGGGGGACTTTTGCGAAATTTCGGCGAGCTGCGATGGTTACCCAGCTGTGGTTGCGTAGCGGGCGAGCTGCGGAAGCGCGCTAAGCCTATTGAGGCACAATGCGGGGCAGTTATGCGTGTAAGTGCAGCCAAAGCACCGCGATGGAGAACTCGCGCTCTGAATGGCAGTGGTCTGACCAGTATGAACACCATAGGCAGTTCAGAAAGCTGCGGGTTTGCAGCCGAGGTGCGACCAAAATATGCAGTGGAAACTGTCTCAAGTTGGAATCGGGGGAAGAAATGAAGAGGGCTCTCAACTATGCTTGCAAATGCTGGCGAACTTCAATGAAGGAGAGTTTGAGTCGTATGGAAGAGGACCGCGAAGTTTGGGATGAGAATGTTGGCAAAATAATTAATCAATGCTCGTCCTGACCTGGAAAAAGCTCAGACTGTATGTGCAAGTACCCAGCCACCTAAGATACGATAAGATTTCAGAGGAACTTCATCGCTGGGTATTGGCAAAACCCGCCGGGCGGTCAAGACTCAGGTTCCTAAATCTGGATTAGCGCCATCGCGTCGCGTCTCCCCATTAATTGAATGACCATTGCCAGTCAGACGCGCCTCGGCAAAGCACTTTAACCACCGTGCAAACTACACACTCCAGAAGCACAACGCGGCAGTGTGCGCCTTTTCCTTGCCATTTACACTCACGCAAGTTAGCCTATCCATTCTGCTTCTTGTGTTGTCTTTCTTCTGTTATTTCACATCCCACACTCACCATGTCTTCAAGGCCTGAATTGAAGGTTCGTTCCCCAAGTAATAGTTAGGTTGCTTGCTAAATACATGGCTAAAACGTCACTAGGTCGACGATGAACACGGCTTCATCCGCTTCTTCAAGTCCCTCCCGGCCGTCCATGAAGACACAGTTCGCATATTCGATCGAGGCGATTGGTACACATCACACGGCGAAGATGCCAACTTCATAGCCCGCACAGTACGCCCTGCATTTCACCATTGCGCCGCCCAGCTGCTGATTGACTGTTATCCAGGTATACAAGACGACATCTGTCGTGAGGACACTCGGCCGAGATGACAAGACGGGTCTCCCATCCGTGACCATGACTGTTACGGTCTTCCGACAATTTCTTCGAGAAGCACTCTTCAAGCTAGGCAAGAGGATAGAGATATGGGAGAGTACTGGCGGCCGCATGAACTGGCAAGTTGCGAAGCAGGCGTCTCCGGGCAATCTGCAGGACGTGGAGGAGGATCTGGGCGGCCAGATCGAGGCCGCGCCCATGATCCTCGCTGTCAAGATCTCCACCAAGGCCACCGAGGCCAGGAGCGTCGGCGTCTGTTTCGCCGACGCCAGCGTCCGCGAGTTGGGCGTCAGCGAATTCCTCGACAACGATCTGTTCTCTAATTTCGAGGCCCTGCTCATCCAGCTAGGCGTCAGGGAGTGCCTCGTCCAGATGGACAAGGCTGACAAGAACAAAGATCCGGACCTGGCAAAGCTCAAGCAGATCATCACCAACTGCGGTGTTGCCGTCTCGGAACGGTCAACCAGCGAGTTCGGAACCAAGGACATCGAGCAGGACCTTGCACGTCTTCTTAAGGATGAGCGGGCAACGACTCTCCTACCTCAGACCGATCTCAAGCTGGCCATGGGCTCGGCCGCGGCGCTTATCAAGTACCTCGGCGTGCTCCACGACCCGTCCAACTTCGGGCAGTACCAACTGTACCAGCATGACCTCTCCCAGTTTATGAAGCTGGACGCGGCGGCACTGAAGGCGCTCAACTTGATGCCTGGCGCCCGGGACGGCGCCAAATCTATGAGCTTGTACGGACTGCTCAACCACTGCAAGACCCCTGCCGGGAGCCGTTTGCTGTCACAGTGGCTCAAACAGCCGCTTATGAATAAGGAGGAGATTGAGAAGCGCCAGCAGCTCGTCGAGGCCTTTGTCAACGACACCGAGTTGAGACAGACGATGCAGGAGGAGCACCTTCGTTCAGTGCCGGATCTCTACCGTCTCGCCAAGCGATTCCAAAGGGGCAAAGCCAATCTTGAGGATGTTGTTCGTGCTTACCAGGTCGTCATTCGACTGCCTGGCTTCCTGGGAACTCTGGAGGGTGTCATGGACGAAGCATACAGGGACCCCCTTGATGTAGCTTATACGACCCCTCTCCGCGGGCTTTCTGATAGTCTCGCAAAGCTTTCGGAGATGGTCGAGACCACTGTCGACCTGGACGCCCTGGACAACCATGAATACATCATCAAGCCCGAGTTTGACGACAGCCTGAGAATTATCAGGAAGAAGCTCGACAAGCTTAAGAGAGACATTGATCAAGAGTTCTCAGATGCGGCGCGCGATTTGAGACAGGAAGTTGGCAAGAAGATATTTCTTGAGAACCACAAGGTCCACGGCTACTGCATGAGACTCACCAGGCAGGAAGCCGGCGCCATCCGCAACAAATCGGGCTACCAAGAATGCTCGACACAAAAGAATGGAGTCTACTTCACGACCAAGACGATGCAAAGTCTCCGGCGTGAGTTCGATCAGCTCTCGCAGAACTACAACAGGACACAGAGCAGCCTGGTCAGCGAAGTTGTTGGTGTAGCTGCGTCTTACAGCCCCGTCCTCGAGAGACTCGCTGGCGTCCTGGCCCATCTGGATGTCATCATCTCCCTGGCCCACTGCTCCGTTCACGCGCCCTCCGAGTACGTTCGCCCCAAGATCCACAAGCGCGGCGAGGGCCAGACGATCCTAAAGGAGGCCCGCCACCCATGTTTGGAGATGCAAGACGACGTCCAGTTCATTACAAACGACGTCGCCCTGACCCGGGATAAGTCTTCCTTCCTCATCATCACCGGCCCCAACATGGGCGGAAAGTCGACCTACATCCGCCAGATCGGCGTCATAGCCCTCATGGCACAGATCGGCTGCTTCGTCCCCTGCACGGAGGCAGAATTAACCATATTCGACTCTATTCTCGCCCGCGTTGGTGCCAGCGACTCCCAGCTCAAGGGTGTGTCGACCTTCATGGCCGAGATGCTCGAGACGGCCAACATTCTCAAGTCGGCGACGGCCGAGTCGCTGATCATCATTGACGAGCTGGGTCGTGGCACCTCGACTTACGATGGCTTCGGTCTCGCGTGGGCCATTTCGGAACATATCGTCAAGGAGATTGGCTGCTTCGCCATGTTCGCGACGCACTTCCACGAGCTGACAGCTCTGGCGGACGAACACCCGCAGGTTCATAACCTGCACGTAACGGCCCACATTGGCGGCGACGGAGGCGGCAAGAACAGCAAGCGCGAAGTGACGCTGCTGTACAAGGTCGACGATGGCGTCTGCGACCAGAGCTTTGGTATCCATGTGGCGGAGCTGGTTCGGTTCCCGGACAAGGTGGTGCGGATGGCGAAGCGCAAGGCCGACGAGCTCGAGGACTTCACGTCCAAGCACGAGGACCTGGGGCTCAAGTACAGCAAGACGGACATGGAGGAGGGCAGCGCCATGCTCAAGGAGGTACTGCTCCGATGGAAGGGAGAGGTCGCCGGGGGCAAGATGAGCAAAGAGGAGATGGTCTCCAAGCTCAAGGGCTTGGTCATGGCGAACGAGAAATTGCTGGCGAACCCTTTCTTTCAGTCTGTCAAAACTTTGTAAGGGCGCGTTTGCTGGGTTCGCAATGGCGTTGTTTCGATTCGCGCATGGAGTTTTGGGCTTTGGGATTTCGGGATTGTGGGTGTACAATAAGGGTCAAATGAGAGGCTTCCGTATTGAGGCAGTCTCTGTTTCAGGAAGGCTAAACTACGTGAGAAACTATGCAGAGGAAAAGCAATTGACATAAACTAAGACTACACCAAGCTTCTATGGCATAGTGACAGTGAAATAAACCTGGCCATGAAATGTCAGCATACGTCATAATGCGACCATGCATATTGTAAGGAAGTTGAGCGAACAAATCAGACAATTGATAGAACGGTGTAATTTCGAATCATTAACATTCATAAACAGCCTCTGAAGCTGATTATCATCATTGGAAGGGACGGGGGTCAACTGATAAAGGGAGGCTCGAGACATACCCTGGCCGACGAGGCTAACCTCGTACAGGAAACAGCAAAAGTTACTGCGGGAACAGGTCGCCATGGAGAAGAATCTTGATGACGGGCGCAGCAAAGAGGGTTTCTGTGACTTTTGGGTTAGCCATCTCCTCGGAGTCGGGCAAGATAGCAAGAATTGAGCGGTGAGTTTGCAAGTGATCAGGTATTGATAGAACGGTGAAGTTTCGAATCATGTTTCGGTGAAAATCATAAACAGTCTCTGAAGCTGAGTCTCATCATAGAATGGGGAGGTGCGTGGTGTGAGGTTGGGCCAAGGACTTACCAAATGCTTTGCAGCCATGAACAGGGAAACGGAACAGAAGGGTGTTCTAACCAACGCGGCACCTCCCGCCGAGGGTCGGATATTCGTTTTTTACACTGATCAGATAATCGTCAGCAACCGTACATCCTCAATGTCCAGATAATAAACGATTGTGTTTGAAAACATATCAGAAAAATGATAGAACGGTGATGGGTCGAATCATAAACATAATTCATAAACAGCCTCTGAAGCTAGTGATTCATCATGTCGAAGGAGGAGGAGGATCGGAGGAGGTAAAGCGTACCATTTCATCAAAACGAAAGTGGGATATCATCGCGTGTTTTAGTTATTCATGTGCGAGGCCGAGTCTGCCAACCAAGCCCGACGAAGGGTCCTTGGGCCCGAGCTTCTGTTTTTCTTTTCTTCATTTTTGCTTTCCGTGACGCCTTTCCTTCCCTTGGAGCCGGCACCATCTTCCCCTACAGGCCAATGTCAGTCAACCTGGTTAGAACAAAGAATTCGCAAAACGAAAATGGACCATAGGGTGTAGTCAGACAAATGATAGAACGGTGAAGGTCTAATCATGGAATCATAAACAGCCTCTGAAGCTAGTGTATCATCATACAGGAGGATGGGAGGAATAGGAACAGATATGAATGACTTACTCCGACAAGTCAGCCTTTGATTACGTCTTGGCAAGAATGTGCCCCCTTGGTCTGAGACAGATATTAGTACACATCTGGCATAGTAGAACAAACAGTCGAGGCAGTGAAAAGGATATCAGATAAAAAGATAGAACGGTGTAAAGTTGAATCATGCGTGTCATAAACAGCCTCTGAAGCTAGTATATCATCATGGAAAACAAGGGGGAATAAGTACGCAACAAAACTTACTCATATCGAAAATGGCTACATTAGCTGGAACCGATCCCTGATTTACTGATGACCCTGACTCCGAGGTTAGTATGCAATTGAAGCTACGAGACGCAAGAAGAACGGAGTTTGTTAAAAGTAAAGTCAGACAAAAGATAGAACGGTGTAATGTTGAATCATATAGATCATAAACAGCCTCTGAAGCTATTGTATCATCATTTGGAGACGGCGAAAGCCTGATTGCATGCTAAGAACGTACCTTTTTTGTAACGCAGTCGGTGGGTGCGTCGATAGAGACAAGCACACATCACGCGGAAGCTAGGAGAGCAAGGGAAAAATAGTACAATTCTCCATTTCCTCTAGCCGATGAGACTCCTCTCCTTTGCCCACGTGTTCCGCAGGCTGTGTGTATGTACAAGCAACGGGAAATAAAGAGCATGCCTCGCTAGGCTGGGTGACGGGCGAGATGGGGTGGTAGTAGTAGTGGTGCTTTTTGGTCTTTTCGGTTGGGAAGGGGTTCTCCATTTACTCAACAGTCGCCTTGACGGGGTTGATCTCAACTCCGTACTTCTCCTTGAGCCGCTCGCGTCTCCGCTCCTCGTAGCCCGGCGGCCGGATGCCTGTAAGAGTGTCAGCCACGCATGGAATGATGGCCCCCAGTCACACCATAAAGGGCGGTACATACCACGGCCCTCGCCAAGCTCTGCAATTGTCTCCTCAATCGGGCGTCTCTTGGCCGCGCGCTGGGCAATCTTGTTGTCAAACTCAGCCTCGTCCAGTCTGCCTTCTGACCATCCTCTCAGACGTCCGCCGGTGAGCTGAAAAACTCCCTGCCACGCGCCGAAGGCGGCACCCAGGCCCAGCACGACGGGCATTTTCCTGGCTGTTCAAGTCGCAACCCGTAAGCATCCTGCCTCAAAAATTCTCAATGTCCAGGAGGGGGTGTTCGTACTCGTCATTCCGAGGATGGAACCGGCAGCAAAGCCGGCAGTCGCGGTGTTCCACGCATCGTCCTTTTGTCTCAGGTTGGCCATTGCCGATTGTGTGAAGCCGTAAGCGCCACCACCGATCGCTGTAGAAGTTCGTCAGTAAGAGAGTGTCCCGAGTCGGACTTGGCGACAGGGTTGGGGCGGCGTACCCATGACGGCGATGATGCTGCCGCTGCGGGTGAACACGGACATGGCGCCGACATTCTGCTTCTGGAGGGCATTGTGGACAGCGGCCATGAAGAAACCGGCACCACCAAGGGCCATGGAGGCCGTGATGCTAGCCTTAATGGCGTCCTTGGGGTGGTAGGTGTCGTCGTCGCCGGCCATGGTTGCGGGGTTGGTTCGGGGAGTCGCGAGCCAGACACTCAATTGGAAAAGAAGTTGATGAGGGATCTAGCGGAAGTTTGAGGTCAGGTTGAAGCTCCACGAATGGGTGCTCCACCCCCCATTCTATCACGTGATTTCATTCGGTGTGGAGCCAATCGGATGGCATTTAAAGGTCAACTGTTCGACGTTAGGATGTCGATAGTCGACGCCGACGCATAAAGGAGGCGAAGAAAGCAAGGTAGTCTGAGCCTAATAAATGATGATCTATATTCTTTGCATAAAATAATGTGTGTAAGTGAATCGACTACACAGCTCCATCTGTCTTCTCATCCAGCGTCTCTTTTGTCTTCACCTAGAAAAGAGAATTGGACGTTACCATTGGCTGTAGTTCATGACTAAGCCCTGAGCTCGTAGGTATCGACCTAGGCATAATAGGAAGGATCTGGTCACGTTCCAGATCACCTGACGCGTCTATGTCCGCGCAAACAGACGTCGTGGAAGCCACATCCCTGTGTTCCATGTGATTCTAGCTAACGGGCCCTTACGCCGCAACTTGCCGCGCAGCTTATTTGCCCCATTCCGATAAAGCAACTCGATACGGCGGAGGCGCAGGTATGTGCCCAACTGCTCACTAGGTAGCTACCTTACTGAGCGCTACAAGGCCACCCAGCTGCGTCAGCCTGTCAACGTTTCTACCCCCGCCACACGACACGACACCCTGCCCACCATCGAGCCCGCATAGTTCCTGCTCGTCATTACCTACCTAGTCTCCCGATGCATTGAAGCTGGCGTCATTGTTTCCGGTTCCTCTCCTTCGGGATAGCTGTCTGAATATTTCTTCTTCCTTTAGGGTCTCTGTTCAGTCTCCTTGCTTCAGTCTGTGTCAAGATACCCCCAGCTTCCCATCTTGCATTCCCCTCGTCGATGTTATTACCGCTGCTTTTTCCGGCCTGCATCTACATCCACGATTTATACAGACTCCGTTTGATCTCGGTCCGGCCGCCATATCCCTAAACCTTTACAGCTCCGAGAAAAGACGACATCTGACTGGGTGGTCATTATACTCTTGCATATTCTCTTTTATGGTCTTAAGCTAATTCGTCCCTCTCAGTGTTCCGCAGTTGGTGAACTGTCCTTCGCGAACCCGATCGAGCCACCTCCAATACAGGGAACTGTCCAGCCCCTATATTGATGCTGACCCGGGTTTCCTCGCCTGCGGACGTCGTTTAAGCTCGAATAATCCCCCCTCTCTCGACAAATATTTGCTATTCCCGCGGCGCATACGGAGCCCTTAAAAGACACACGTTGAACCGTAACTGCTCGCCACAGCACTTACATCGTGGTCCCGACCTGACGCATGTCATTCTTGGCCAAAGTGTACAAGGCTTTGCGAGGTGATCTGAGTAGGTGATCTTGTTCCAGCGATGTTCTCTTGGGCATACTGCTCACCCAACTGTCAAGAAACCTCACCCAGCGAGACACGAAGCCAACCACTACACTGAGCCAGTTATATCACCATGGCCATCTCGGATCAATACTCCATTATGTCACCAAGTGACTCACCAACTGCCGAACATTGGGAGGGGAGGCCCGCGCTCGTCAAGGAAAACATGCTTGGAAAGACTGGTACGTCAAGTAGCCATATCCTATGCCCTGTGGGCATCGTGAAGGTGGCGGATGTTTCATCTCTTTGACGTATAAGATGTCGCGGCTGATGAATATTGGTTGTTGAGCAGGTCGTCTTGCACCTAGATGGGTACAGGACTTACTGAATTCCGATCTTGATTCCGGCTCGTTCATCAGGATCGAGTGGGACCGCGAGGCGCGCTGCAGCAACACCGGCGTTCCCCATCGCCTTGTCCTTGTGGGCAACCAGAGCACGGCAGAAAGCCGCAACCCTGGCGTCCTGTCCTGCGTTTGCTGCAACTGCGACTTTCACTTCATCATCAGAACATCATGGGACCCAGACCACCTAGTTTGTCTCTGTCGTCCTCAGAATCTTCACTTTCCCCCAAAGGACACGGACTTTTACATCCATCATTTGGTCAATGTCAAAGTCGCGACCCGACCCGCCAAACCTGTGTCAGATTATCACCCTATGATCAGAGAGGCCTTGCTTGCGGTCGAACATTTTTCTTGCTCAGCACCCCGCTGCACATTCCAAGTGTCTGTTGAGATCTCGCGGCCTCGACTTAAGCGCGAGTGGGTGCGTCTACTCCTTGATAAGCAACGCATTCTTGACAACCTGGCCCGAGCCAGAAAGATCTCGCCGGAACGTTTTGCAGATGCCCGGGACGATTGGTCTACCAGCGCCCCGTCCACTCTGAATACGTACCTTAGAGACTTGCTGGATAAGCCCAGTCCGCGCAACATCTCCCGGCGAAACAAGCGTTTCCAGGTTGTGTTTGGCGATGAATGCTATGACATATTCAGAGCGATTCAGTTTACGGAAGAGAATCTCGATAAGGACGGTGTCTTTGAGCCGTACTTTATCCCTCCTGTTCTTGAGCCTGGCACCCCTGGTATACCGACAAAACTCAACACGTTGCGCGCGTTCATCGAGGACCTTCAGGCTGAGGCGGAGAGTCTCATCATCCGAAGTGGGAAGCCTGGCGAGACCCGGCCGTATGTCGGCAACAGGCTGTTTAAAGAGCTGCAGTGCTTTGAGTATCCGCAGAATACGGTTTCTCAATCAGCAACTAACGCGCATCGAGTCCTTGGTGTTCTTCCTGATTTCGACAAGGCTTTGATTTTCTTTGCCTACAACCGGCAGTCAGCCCTTTGCGAAAAGCGTCGTCAGACCTACGTCGAAGCACTTCGCGATATCGCATTGCTGACTGCGGACGAGGATTTTCAGACCCGTGCGATCCAAGAGCTTACCATCGTGGAGGGGATGGACCTCTCAGGCACCCACAGCGCTGGAGACGAGCTGGAAAGCCAAGCTTACTCCTTCTTTAGTCTTAAGTACACTGCTAGCGATGACAACGTCATCTCAGCTTACAACACCAAGCTTGAGCACTCTCCTGCGCAGGCGGATTTTGCAAAAGAGATGCTTCAGATCATCGGGCGCCACAGGAGTAGTGACAGAATCCTCACGCACGCGAATGGTCCTATGGACGTCTCCTCAGCTTATCGCATTCTCGAAGCGGATCCCCAGTGGCCTGATAGCACCATCGTGATGATGTGTAGCGTCAAGGTATGTTTCAACTTGGGCATCACAGATATGGCGTCTCGCTGACCTTGCCTCCCTACATTATAGCTCAACAAGGACCCACGGAGCAAAGCCATCGCGGAAGTCGCTATCAAAGCCATGGAAGCTATTGCTTCCGACAGGAACAGCGACGAAATACGACAGGCTGTGAAAGCCCTTGAACAGGAATCTGGCCCGTCTCAACAGGAGAAAGCCGAGTCATTACCCTCAACTACCACGACCAACCTCCCGGTCGGACTGGAAAATATCGGCAACACCTGTTACTTGAATAGCATTCTCCAATACTTGAACACCGTCGTTCCCATCAAGGATTTGCTTGCTCACTATCCTATGCATGAGCTTGGCCTGGACGACTCGGATATCCAACGTCGACTCATTGGTGGAAACAAGCTCAAGATTGACCGCGCTGAAGCAGTCGTTGCTCGTGTTTGTAAGTTTTCGACTATCATCCATCGCTACTTCAATACTGATTCTTTTAGTTGTTGAAGAACTGGGACGACTCTTGAACAACCTTGGCAGCTCGCAAGCGCCCGCTATTCGCCCCTCCCAGCGTCTTGCCAATGCCGTCCTGCTGCCGACGTCGAATCTTACTGAAGGTCCCATCCCGCAACAAAAGGCCAAGGATACTGCGGAGCCAAAGACACTGGAGGTCATGGGTGCCCAGTTCCCTGCTCCCCCGCCTTTGCCTGCAAGGCCTCCCCCAGGACCTCCTAAGCAGCAACCAGGACAGACAGAAGATGTTGATATGGTCAATGTCACTGTTGACCCGGTCTCAGAAACCGCTAGCAGCGTAAGCTCACAGACCCTGGTCAATATGTCGGATGTTGACGGTGAAAAGAGAGATTACGTGACCGAGGACAAGACCGACATCAGGATCGTCTCCCATCCGGTCGAAGCATCAGCGCCGGAACCGGCCATTAACAGCGATATGAATATGACTGGAGTTGAGACTCCATCGCTGAACGTCGAACAACGGGTGCTCAAGGCCTTGGAGACGCAGACAAGGACTTCCGGCACGGAGCAACAAGACGTTGAGGAGGTGATGGGCAGCATCATCAACCGCCTACAGGCGGCCATCAAACCCACGAAAACAGATGCCACGGACGGAATCCAGTGGGAGCCAATCATGGAGACGTTCTACGTCGAGTTGACGAACCATACAAAATTTCCTAACCAGGACAAGTACAAACTGGACTCCACGTTGGAGCGTGCGATCACGGCATACCCCGCCGAAACCGGTCCAACCAATATTCATGATGGCCTGAGTCGCAACTTTGACCTCCAAAGAGTTGTTGCTGGCAAGGAGGATATCATGCGCTTTACATCGATCAAGAGGCTCCCCCCTATTCTCCATGTCCTCATTCAGAGGACCCAAAACAATGGCAACAAGAACATGAATCCTGTCGAGGTCTTTGAGACGTTATATCTTGATAGATATATGGATACTCCAGACGATCCACAATTTTTCAAGCTGAGGCAGAAAGGGTGGGCTCTTCAACAGCGTTTGGAACAGCTCAACAGCATACCTACAATCACGGCTGAAGATGCAGAGGTTATCGACAGTTTCGTCAATGATTTCGTCCATGTCAATAAGGCAGATATTCCGGAGCCTGAGTCACTTCTTGGGGGCCTGCCGACTTCTTCTCTCGACTTTGCTGGGGAGGACTCATCATTCCCAACTTACAATCTGTCTGACACATCTTTCAACAAGAGTGATCCCCCCAGCACGACGGGTTTCACTGCCGACGGACGCCAGCAGATCAACAACATGCGCGTTGAAGAAGTGAAGGCCTACAAAGCAGAGCTTGAAGAGCTCTTCTCTCAGCACAAGAAGCATGCATATCGCCTGCATGCAGTGATTTGCCATAGCGGTCAACTCAGGGCGGGTCATTACTGGGTGTGGATTCACGACTTCGAAGCCGGTGTATGGCGCAAGTACAATGATAGGACCGTGACGGAGACACCCAATACCGAAGAAGTTCTGAAAACACTCAATAGCAACGGCGACCCGTATTACCTTTGTTACGTTCAGGACGGAAGGGAACGCGAGCTGGTCAAGGTCCCCAAGCGCAGTCTGCCGGACCCACCAATTTCAGGCCAAGGGAGTAACGCCAACAAAGACGTGTCTAAGGACGCAGACGGAGATATCGACCTGATTGATATGGGAAACCTAACCGCAGATACGCAAGCAACCTCGAAGACGTCGCCGACGACAGGCGAACTTTCAATCAACACCGTGGAACGCGACCAAACATAGAAGAATGGTGACACGACGGATGACTCGCCCAAGAGCCGCTCTTTGAAAAGGCGGGGAGCAGGTAAGCGATAATCTAGTTGTTTTGTATTCGCATGGGGCTGACACTCACTAGTTCTCAAGAAGCCTCCACCTCTACGACGTTCTTCACGGAAGCAAACATCGGTTCGATTCATGATTGACTGATGAATCCAGTCTTGGTTGACTCTTGGGGAGACCTCCAATTCGGCCTTCGAGCTTAACTTGCCCTCCTCATCCGGGTCCACAACATCACCCTAGTACAAATATTGTGGCAAACATTGTATACATTACGGAAATGACGAGATTGGACCCCAACACGGCTGGCGTTGTCTTTTCATTCCGAAGCATCAGCGAGGCAGTATCGGGGTCGCTTGGTGTTAGCGTGAATATTTACGCCGCATGATACAACCCTCCAAATACCCAGTTCATGAAGCAAATAGATACGAATTGACCGTTGCTTTTTGCGCATTCGATCCCTTCCCTTTTGTTTTCAGTGGCCAGTCTTCCACAAATCCAATTCTCGCCTGATCCTGATTTACCTGTTTGGGCTATTCTTTTGTGCTGGCCAGAATGATGGGTTTGGGTCATAGTTCTGAACATGGGCGGGTGGTCGATGTGGAGATGTAGACCAGACCACATCGCCGGCAACGGCCCCGCCCCTTTGGCTCAGTGGTAGAGCGTCGCACTCGTAGTCTCGTCATGCGAAGGTCCACGGTTCAATCCCGTGAGGGGGCATTTCACTTTTTCTCCTGCGCCTGATGGACCGGAGCAATAATATCTATTCCTGGGGAGGCGTCGAAGTCATTCATTTTTTGGGTTGAACTATCTTTCGTATGCGGTTGGGTCCTTGCGGAAGAGTCAAATATGACGAAGGTAGGTGGTTAGTGACTTGACGTCCGTCGCCGGGTGTAAAAACAAGCAGATGAAAAAGATCACCTGGGACGGACGGTTCTCGGTTCGTATGCAAAGAGGCGGGTCTCTCAGGAGTCCGAGAGGCCGTTGTGTAAGGCTTGTTCGCTACGCTGCCTCTCCGGCATGGATAGTGAGACATCGAGCCGTGTATGTGTGGACGATGCCCGGGGCCGTGTCGCTTATACAGACAGAAATATTCGCCTGTCGGCGCTGGAGCTACATGGCGTGATGAAGACTGGCGGTCAGCCGGTTGATGTTTTTGTACTCATACAACGCAGACGCATAGCAGTCGGCATCGCGGCTTCACATTCTGGAGGTCGTTTCAGAACTGAGAAGAGGTATCACGCTGACGCCCCCACCCCCGCACGCGTCACCTTACGAAACTAAGGTGCTCGAGGGTGTATCAATGTGAAAACACGTATCATGTCACATTATAAGATGGCATGGTTGTGTGTGTGTGGGGGGGGGGTTCTCCCAGGCTGTCGGAGGTGCTGGTAAAAGCAAGGCTGTCAAGCCAACCCGGTGGCTGGCCGGGACCAAGCAACCAAGGCGACCCGCTGGCTGAGAGCTTGCTAGGCTGGGATCTCATGCAAGAGCCGCCTCAACAGATGACCCGCTTCCTATGCCGGGCTTTGTTTCTCTGCGGTCCACGGGATGGAGAGATATGCATGCCACCCTCCCCTCGACAGGTGTGTGTGACTTGATATATCCCTCACAGCCCGCGAGATCCGATGCAGGAGTAGATGAGATATAGGTACATTTATCATATTCCTCCGAGATCCAAGTGAGCTGATCGAGCATGCGAGTATGCGAGCATGGCTATTGAGGGAATCGGTAGAATCGCGCGACGAAACGAAGCAAGGCTAGCTAGCGGTCAACCCCCCCCCCTGGGTTGTTGCCCAGATCCGTTCATGGGGAAGCTTTGGTTCCTAGTGACGAGGTTCAAGGTGTTTTCTGATGTTGCGGGAAGTGCGGCGGCGGCCCCAGTTGATAGGTTTGGGGACGGGAGGAGGGGAAAGATAGACTGGGATGCGGACCGGCGTTTATATAGCATGATGAGGCGTCGCCAGGAAACCTGCAGGGCACGGCACGATAGGTATTATACCATGGTCAATCTCATCTCAAGACGCGAAATCATGATGGTCATTCGAGACCGAATGTTTCAATCTAATTCGGGGAGTATCCCGATTTTGTGGTACATGGTCCGGAGATGATGCCCCTTATCACCTCGTGCAACACTCAGATGCAGGAGGGCGTCCACGCCCACATGATCGGACGGCACAGAATGTCCGGGTTTCCACAACCCACAAGCTGCTAGGTTTTTTTTTTCGCCCTCTTCTCTTAGTAGTCTCTCGTCACGTCGCCTTGTCCGTCATCCTCGTCCTCGATGGGGATGGGCGTAGGAGGCTGTGGGGTCTGGGGCTTGTGGTTCGGAGAAGAGGCCATGATATCTCTATCTCCCTGTGTTGCTTTGCACGGGTGTGACTTTGTTCAACCAGCGGGTGTCAGCCATCAATATTTTTCTCCATGGGCCAAGGCAGTGGTGCCAAGCGGATGTTGGGCTTGATACCTGATTGTCAGTAGTCGCAAATCAAAATGAGTGGTCGGGGGGCAGCTGGTGAGGGAGAGGTTTCTGCCATGCGTCGTTCGTCTCGAGAAAAGAAGGAGGGAGTGAAGGCGTTTAAGTGAGGGGGTGGTCAAAGTTTATATACTTCTTGAACCTGCCCTTTGAACCTCAGAAGCGGTTGATCGGTGGGGAGGAGGGGGGACTCGTGACGTCAGGCCACCATGCTACGGGAGTGGTGTCGACCTGCCTTTGGGTGTGAGATGATGGGATGTGACTGGGGCACCGCGTGGTTAGCTCGGACGAAAGCCGTGATGGTGAGCGAATTCTGATGACAGGAGGTCCGAGTGCGAACCCAAAGCCCCGGGCGCATGTTGCTTGATGGTTTGAGAGCGTGAGAGAGAGTTTTTGTTAGCGCGGAGTCCAGATAACGTATGTATTGTCGTCGGATGGCCTACCTACAAGAGCCCCTCCCCCGCCCGTGCGCGTGGCGAAGGGGACTTTCAGGGTCGTGGTCTCGCACGGGAAGGCTTTTGATGTTGTCACTTTGAGATCAGACCAGATGGAAGGAGAGGGTTTCTCAGTAGTGGATTAGTTCTGACGGCCAGCATTCTCGGTCGGAAGAATGCGGCAGTACTGATACGCGATAGGTGGTGGTGAGGAGGTGTGGCCACAGACGACACCGTCCAACAACGGACGCTCTTCTGTCACCAATGTACTAGGTACTAGCTCTAGCAAAGAGTCATGACATGCTTGGCTGCTGATCTTCTTCATGAGTCCTCCCGCAACCCCTCCTCCCAACCCCTGAAATTGCCGTTGGCGAATTGCATAGGGCCCCCCGCGTGTTGGCAGCCGAGGCCCCGGCGACCCCGCAATGGACGCTAGGCCTATCCCGATCTGCTCGGGGAGGGGGGCAGGTGGGGGGGAAGCTGCCTTTTCCCCCCATTATCAGATCATGCAACTGTGAAACCTCGGCGCGCAAACGTCCTTCTCGCGATAATGATTTCTTACGGGCTGACAACGTTTCTTGGTTAGCGAACCGGTAAAGTTGCTATACCCTGGCGACTGTCCGGTTGCATAGGTCAATCGTGACCCCCCCTCCCCAAAGTTTCACGAGGATCCAACAGTGAGTGAGTGTATGACTGTCTCTACACTGAGACCACCAGCACCCTGCCACCATGGAACCGGTCCCGGCCTCTGAGCTCGAGCTCCCCCGCGCGCTCCTTGTCTCGTTGGGGGTGGGGGCCCAAGCTCCCAAGTTGCGGCAGCACGGCAGAAAATAAAAATGGTGGGGTGATGTCTGCATGAATGGCACATGCCAGAGTAAAGCAAACCTGGGCCCAGGCGGTGCCACTATCCGCGCCCATGCTACTATGTAAGGTAGCAAGGTATGCAAGTAGGCATGCTCGCGTACGATCCACGCTCGCCCATGAATCAGCTGCTTTCGGCGTTGGGCGAGGAGACGGCCGGGTTCCGCGCCGTTGCTTGTGGCCAGCTTTTTTCTGCATGGACTTCGACTGCGACTACGAGCCAGGAACACGCGTACATACGCTGGTGCTCAGCGGACCAAACCATGCGTACATGCCATGGTTTAGTTTGGTTCGACGTTACGCCGAGAAGTGCTTAGCTAGTCATTTCCCGTTACCCTGGCCATTTTCTGAATCTTTTTGTATAGCCAGCATCGTGAGCCCACGCACTTGGCGACGACGTATTGGGGCTGCCGAGAGGGAAGTCCGACGTGTTGATCCGGATTGGGCTTTTTCGGTCATCCCGAGAACGGAAGGCAGAGGGTGGCTAGACTAGAGCAGGTGACTGTGTGCTTGCTTGCTTGCTTTCAACACCTTCCTTCACGGTGGCCTTGCAGCGAGAATGGCGCCTTCCTCTGCTAGAAGTAGAAGGCACGACGAAGGTCACGGCTCTTCTACGTCTATCTTCTATTATTTACCCACCTATAGGTATGTAGACCTTGGCATAAGAGATAGAGGTACCGGTCGATAAGACATATCAAGACTTTAATTAAAGCCCTTAGGTACCTAGAGACCTAGGTATCTCCCCGCCAACTCATCCAAGCAGAGTGATGGCACAGCCGTCGGGGTGTGTGTGTAAGTAAGGTGACGGAGTCGCACTTGGAAAATCAGACCACCTCTCTCCCCCCTCCGCACACAACAAACACGACCAATCAGCTTCCCATGACCTGCAGAGAATACCCGCAAATTCCTCAGCTCATCTGCTTTGCAGCTGCGTCCTCATTCATATTTTCCTCTTGACTGAGGTCGCACTTGACGCAGTTTTTTGGCTCCGCTTCGCCCGGAAGATGCAACCACCAGACGCGCTGCCCAAGGATGGATGGCATGCTCCCCCCCCCCCCCCGCGTTGCCAGCCCATTGGGCCTCTCCACCATGGAACAACGCGAGGCATGTCTCCAGCTCTGCTGTCCTCTGGTGAAGAGAGCCTGGAAACCCTTGCATTGAGGCTTTGCTAGGAACGCATGGGTATCATAACGCTCCGCACCTTCGCAAAGCCCCTCCTCCTGCTAACATTTCCGTTTCCGCAGCCTACACACAACCTTTGCCTCCTGCCCCGGCAAGGACCGTCTAAATCAGCTGATGGCTCCTCAGTCTTCACGTATGTTGCGTTGTTACGGCAGCCTGCTACCCGGCTGGGATCGGTACCAAGACTGTGAGTATCAACCTCAAGCAAGGAACCCGCCATTCCGCCGCTGAGCAGAATGGCCACTTGTCATCCCTACCCTACAGCCTGCTGTGTGCAGATAAATACCTATAAAGACCACAATTCCTCTGACTTCGTTCAGTCTTCTATACTCCTAGATAAATCACCACTCCAAAGCCATCTTGGCCTACACATATCAACACACGACTCATCCATCGCTTGCACACCTCCCTCTACAATGACCGACAAGGAGGCCGAGTCCATCAGCCCCTATGGCCCAGCCCGGTCAACAGTCAAGGGCGAGCCGCTCTCCAAAGAGGACATCGAAAAGTACAATGACTTCTTCAAGGCGAGCTTGTACCTGTGCCTGGGTATGATCTTCCTCAAGGAGAACCCCCTCCTCCGGGAGCCTCTCAAGAAGGAGCACATGAAGTTAAGGCTGCTCGGCCACTTCGGATCCGCTCCCGGTCAGGTCTTTACCTGGATGCACTTCAACCGTCTTATCAAGAAGTACGACATTGACTCCATTTTTATCTCCGGCCCCGGTCACGGCGCCCCCGCTGTCCTCTCCCAGTCATATCTCGAGGGCGTCTACTCTGAGGTCTACCCCGACAAGTCAGAGGATATTGAAGGCATGCAGAAGTTCTTCAAATCCTTCTCCTTCCCCGGCGGCATCGGCTCTCACGCCACGCCCGAGACTCCGGGTTCTATCCACGAGGGCGGAGAGCTCGGCTACTCCGTCTCTCACGCCTTCGGTGCCGTATACGACCACCCCAATCTCATCGCGCTGACCATGGTCGGTGACGGAGAGGCCGAAACGGGCCCCCTGGCCACCGCGTGGCACAGCACAAAATTCCTAAACCCCATAGTTGACGGTGCCGTCTTGCCAGTCCTGCACTTGAACGGCTATAAGATCAACAATCCCACCATTTTGGCCAGAATATCCCACAAGGAGCTCGAGAACCTGTTTCTCGGCTACGGTTGGCAGCCTTACTTCGTCGAAGGTGACGATGTCGACACCATGCACCAGGCCATGGCGGCCACCATGGAGCACTGCGTCCTCGAGATCCGTAAGTTCCAGAAGCAGGCCCGCGATTCCGGCAAGGCCTTCCGCCCCATCTGGCCCTTGATTGTGCTCCGCAGCCCCAAGGGCTGGACTGGTCCCCGCAAGATCGACGAAAACTACATGGAAGGCTATTGGAGAGCTCACCAGGTGCCTGTTCCCAGCGCGGCCACCAACCCCGAGCACCTTAAGGTTCTCGAGAAGTGGATGCGCAGCTACGAGCCCGAGCGGCTCTTCAAGGACGGCCGCATCTCGGACGAACTCAAGGCGCTTTGCCCTACCGGCAACCGCCGCATGAGCGCAAACCCGGTCGCCAACGGTGGCCTTCTCAGGAAGCATCTGAAGCTTCCCGACTTCAGGAACTACGCCATCAAAGTCGACAAGGCTGGCGGCACCACCGCTGCTAGCATGAACAACATGGCCACCTACCTGAGGGACGTCATTGCCCTGAATCAGACCAGCTTCCGACTCTTCGGGCCCGACGAGACCGAGTCCAACAAGCTCGGTGCCGTCTACGAAGCCGGAAAGAAGGTCTGGATGGGCGAGTACTTTGAGGAGGATGCCAACGGAGGTAACCTGGCCCCTGAGGGACGCGTCATGGAGATGCTCTCCGAGCACACCTGCGAGGGTTGGCTCGAAGGCTACATCCTGACCGGACGTCACGGTCTGCTCAACAGCTACGAGCCGTTCAGTAAGTCACCCAATCGATCCCCTACGTATACCATTCTTGGTTAGGTTCCCCGCTGACCGTTTCTAGTCCATGTCATCGACTCCATGGTCAACCAGCACTGCAAGTGGATCGAGAAGGCCCTCGAGGTCGAGTGGCGCAACAAGATCGCCTCTCTCAATATCCTCCTGACGGCCGTCGTCTGGCGCCAGGACCACAACGGCTTCACGCACCAGGACCCCGGCTTCCTCGACGTCGTTGCCAACAAGAGCCCCGAGGTCGTCCGCATCTACCTGCCGCCCGACGGGAACTGTCTGCTCTCCACCATGGAACACTGCCTCGCTTCATCCAACTACGTCAACGTCATTGTCGCCGACAAGCAGGATCACCTACAGTACTTGACCATGGACAAGGCGATTGAGCATTGCACCAAGGGCATCGGCATCTGGCCGCAGTTCAGCACCGACCAGGGTGAGGATCCCGACCTCGTCATGGCCTCGTGCGGCGACATCTCGACCCACGAGTCCCTGGCGGCCATCGACCTGCTGCTCCAGCACTTCCCCGACCTCAAGATCCGCTGCGTCAACTGCGTCGACCTCTTCAAGCTCATCTCGCACGAGGACCACCCGCACGGCCTCACCGACGCCGAGTGGGTTGCTCTCTTCACCGACGACAGGCCCATCATCTTCAACTTCCACTCCTACCCTTGGCTGGTCCATCGCCTCGCGTACAAGCGGCCCGGCAATATGAACCTCCACGTCCGCGGCTACAAGGAGAAGGGCAACATCGACACGCCCCTCGAGCTCGCAATCCGCAACCAGACGGACCGGTTCAGCCTCGCCATGGACGCCATCGACCGCATGCCCCAGCTGCACAACCGCGGCGCCGCCGCCCGCGAGACGCTGCGCAACCAGCAGATCGCCGCGCGCATCGAGGCCTTTGAGACGGGCATGGACCCTCCCTTCCTCAAGAACTGGTCCTGGTCTCACAACGGCCTGTGGAAGCAGACCGTGTCCAGAATCACCAGCTAGATCCGGTTGCCTGACAAGGTTGCTCCCGTCCAAATTTCCAATATTTGATTTCATATTTACCGATTGACGAAACGGCGTTCCTCGAACAGATTGGGAAATGCCAAGATTTGTGGAATTCCCATAAGAAATGGTCTCACGGCGGTGGTACATGTTGCTCTCTCTCTCTCTCTCTCTCTCTTACTCAACGAGTTTCTTCTTTTTGGTCTTTTTTTTTTTCAACTGATAAACTGCACTCTTCTCCAATGTTGGGTAAATTACATACATGCATGCGCATCACAACACTTGGCATAATTGCTATGCAGTGCTTGGCGAACCAAGTGAAACCCTGCGGGTGCATCTCGTTAATCAAGTCCAATATTCATAGCGCGTTCTTTGGTATCTAGTAAAATAACTACGCTCTCGCAGAACCAGGCCCCCCCTCTCCCTCCTTCTCAATATCTGACCGCCTCGACGGAGAAGGCATGTTGACATGGAGCGATGACTTTGTACACTGATATCCCTTTCCCGCACTCCGGTACAAATAGGTTGCCCGGAGGAGAGAGCTGATGCGCTCTCGAGACTCCTTAAACGCCCTCCTCCCTTCCTGCTGTTTTTCTTTTTCCTCGATGCCCTTTTTGCACATGATAAAAACCCGCCTTGGAAGGGGAGGAAAAAACCACTCTGCTTGACTCGTTTGGCGTGGGTAAAAGGTCCCTTTGCCACAGATCCTTCACACGCCTAGCAAGATTACCAGAAAAGGGAAAAACAAGAAGAAGGGGAGGAAAAAAGACAAAGGAAACAAGAACGAAGGGACAAGAAGAAAAAGTAAAAAAGATGACAAGGGAAAAAAGAGGACAGTAATACTCGCGGAAAGAGGGAGAAGAAAAGAAAAGAAAAAAAGAGAACAATCTTGCCGCCGCCCCTCCCGTAACATCTTTTTTGCCTTCATATAGCGTGGCGCGTTACACCGTCATGACGTTTCATCGAGCCCCCTCTCCCCGTGTTGGCCATCGCCATATCGACGTGCCCTTCTCGGTCCAAGAAGCTACTTCGGTGTTCCTGCACGCCCGACATCGCCTTCTTGGGCCCAGCCTCTCCACCCAACCCCGTATGCCAATAAGCCTCTCTCTCTCTCTCTCTCTCTCTCTCTCTCTCTCTCTCTCTCTCTCTCTTGCGGCGTTTAGGCTCACCAGCACCGAAGCTTCCTCCATATCGACCCCATGCTGGTCCTGCCGCTGCGACTCGAGTCCCCTACGCCCGAGCCGTGCTTCTCGTTCTCGCTGCCTGTGGGCAGGGGGCTCAGGGGCTTCGTCATGCCGCGGCGGTCCATCTCCATGTTCTCGTTGACGCCCAGCTCGGCCATCCGCCGGGCCTCGACCACGCGCCGGACGATGAGGGCGAAGGTCTCCTCGATGTTGACCTCGAGCCGCGCGCTCGTCTCCATGAAGCCGCACCCATGCCGGCGGGCCCAGTCGAGGCCCTGGGCGGCGGACACTTCGCGGGACTCCTGTAGGTCGCACTTGTTGCCGGCGACGATCTTGACGGGCGGGACGGTCTTGGCGCCCGGCGCCACCGAGACCGTGTCGCGGTACGAGGCAGGGGTGAGACCGGCACGCTTTGCGCGGTCGGCGTTGTCGAGGCGGGTTTCGGCCTCCATGTCGATCAGGTCGTTGAAGTACTGGAGGGCGTCGAGGGAGTCGCAGGAGGTGATGTCGTAGACGAGCAGGAAGGCGTCGGCGCCGAGGTTGGAAGAGGCCCACATGCCGCGGTATTCCTCCTGGCCGGCCGTGTCCGTCAGCGACAGGTGGTAGTTCTGGCCATCGATCTTGCGGGTGATGGAGTACGAGTCCTCGATGGTGGGGTCGTATTCGGAGGTCCACTGCGAGCGTACGAGGCGGAGGGTGATGGAGGACTTTCCGCAGCCGCCATCGCCGCAGATGGTGATTGAGATTGGTACCGGGGGTTGCTGAGAGGTTGACATTGTGTGATGGATGCTGGTTTGATTTCCCTCGTGATCTCGGAGGCGAGGTCAGTTGCAGGTATGGATGTCGGCGGTGGTGCAAGTCGTCGTCGGGTGTGTGTCGTCACGCGTCGCGTGCAACCGTGTGGGAATTGTGAGCGTCGGACTTTGGACTCGATTGGTTGGCGACGCAAGTTCCACGATGGGTGTTGAGCGAAGCGAGATCGAGGGTAGTGGAGTGTGAGCAGGTCCCCGCAAGGTGTTCCCAGGAGGACACCAAGCTTTCTCGGAGGGGTCAACACACGTGTAGTGAAAGTTAAATATGGAAAGAATGACCAGTCGGGCAACAAAAAAAGGTAGGCGAGGTCAGAAAAGAGACGGACAACCTTTTTTTTCTTTTAGGTGGTAGGTGGTGGTGCTGCGGCTGTTGTTTCGCTTCGTTTTGGCTCTCAGACCACCACGCGGGCACGGTTTGACCTTGTTACTAGTCCAAACCAGGATCGAGTCAAGGAAAGGAAAAAAAAAGAAGAAGAAAAGAAAGGGTTGTGGCGTCAGGTTGGCGGGAGGGGCCTCCCAAGAAAAAAAAAGATCGTCCGTCTGGGACGGCGTGCAATAATAGGGCGGGGTGAATGGAAGAGATGGAAATCGATGCAGGAGTCGTGTGGGTGAGTGAGTGGGTGCGTTTGCCCGAGTGGTATTGTTCCGGCAGCTTCTCTGACGCGGTTTACGTCGTGACGCAAGTGTGATTGTGTTGCTCGCGACGGTGTTGAGTAGTGTAGATGTGGTAGGTATTGGAGACTTGGTCGTTGGGAGGTCGGAGGTTGGAGGTTGTATTTGGAGATTAACGTTGGGGATATTCGGCCCGTTGGGTTGGCGGCGCGCGAGAGACGGAAGCGTTGCAGTGGGAAAGCGGATTGGAACGCCACTTGGGATGGTGGTGGACGCAAATAGTTTTTGAAAGGGCTTCCTCTGTATATGAGGTGCGGGTGAAACAAACCGCTTGCTTTTGTGGTGGGAGAGGAAAGCTTGCGCAGGGGAAGGAGGAGGGGGGTGAAAGGGGAGAAGGAGGAGAGGATTTCGTTGGTCAATCGCGTCCAACTACCAAGGTAAGCAGCCTAGGTAGGTAGCGTGCAGATGCGGGCGACAGATGGATAGCTAGATGGATGCTTTGGAGGTGCAGGTGAGGAGGTGCGAAGGAGATGGATGATGTTGGCTGAGCTAGTTGGATACCTATATGATGTGATGACGGTGTGCTGGGATTTGTTATACCTGCAGGTAAGGCGTGGGTGATGGGGTGAGGTGGGTGGCTTTGCGTATATGCGTACACTATATGTGTGGATTATATGTAGGTATGTGCACGGGTTGTGTGTGTGTGAAAGGTCGAGGTTGATCGAAGGAATGATGGTGGTGGTGGTGGTTGGGTTTGGATTGGATCGGATTCGTAGGTTTAGGTATCCGTATAGGTAGTGTCGGCATGACGAGACTGGGCACCAAGGGCAGGATTGATTGATGAACATGAACATGGACATGGACATGGACCCCTTTTTTGGGAGGCGGGAAGGCAAGAAAAAGTCCGAAGAAGAGGTAGTAGTAGTAGTAGTAGTAGTAGTAGTAGTAGAGGGTAGTATCCGTAGAGTAGACATTGCCCCCCTTTCTCAGTGACCGAGTTAGTCAGTCAATTATTCGGTCAGTTATGCAGTCAAGTCAGAGAGACTACTCCGTACACTACACTACACTTGGTCCTTCAGCTCGTCGACGGAGGGGAGGCGAGACAGGGTGTAAGATTCGAAAAGCAATACCGGCCAGACCAGACCATACCATGCCATGCCAGGGGAAAGGGCTGTTGCTGTTATTGTTCCCATCCTTTCTTTCTTTCTTTCTTTCTTGTCCGTCCTTTTCCCTGGTGTTGCTCGGCTATTTTTTAATGATTTGATTATTGTGTTTTATTGCTCTTCCCATTTGCCGTCGGCGGCATCTGGGGCCGGAGAGGAAGAGAGCATAGGGTTACTTACTACCTAGTAGCTAGCTGTGGGTGGTGGGTATGGATGGATGGATGGGTGGGTGATGTTTACAGGCCCGCCCACCTCAAGAGAAATGGGACGGATGCTCGAGCCTCGTAGTCCCCTCTTTCCGGGAAATGATGGGAGGAGAATGAGTGGTACCAGAGGAGGGATGAAGCTTGTTAGACGACAACAGGAGCTTCGATGGACATGTCCAGTGCTGCGCAGCTCCTCTTTTCCCAGCCGCTGCGGCCGTCGGCCACTTTGCAGAATGGTCTCGTGTGTTTGACGTCGCGGGATGTGCCAAGTGTGATGAAATATGCAAGAGAGAACGGGTGTGTGTGTGTGTGTGAGAGAGAGAGAGAGCGATGTGGTGCCCCCAATATGTGCCGTATGACGACGAACGACCGAACGAGCCTACTACACTAGGTACCTACCTATACGGAAGTATACCATGTCAAAGATGCTGGCTGCTCGCCTGGTATCACTGTCAGTGCGGCGACCGGGGGGGTGGAGAGTTGCCACCACAAGTGACGGAGAGATGGGAGACGGTGTGGACAGAAACGTGATAGAGAGAGAAACGCACGCGCGTTACTATTCTTGCTATTGATAGGCCAAGGGGAGGGATGGATGGTGGAGAGGATCTGAGCGCCAGCATCGAATCGTCACAACGGCACCTCCTAATCGAGCAAGTGATCAAAATCGAATCGTTTCCCCATAGCATTCGTCCTATAGTGTATAATACCTAGCAGACGGGACATTATTCTCGGAATGACCGTGGGTAGGGGAGAGAACCCCCTAGATGATATCGATTAAGTAATCAATCCAATTCCGCTTGCCGTGCCCCCCCCCCCCCCCCCCCCCCCCCCATAAAACAAGACATGTCACTGGGTTGCAATGATGGCAGCACGAGGCTGGACGCCGGCTGTGTCGTATTTGGGTGTGAACTGGATGGGTTGGGTGTTCCAGGTGGGCGATGATGCAAAAGTCTTTAACGTCCTCAACCACTCCTTTCCCCCCCTCCGAATGAGGCAGATGATCGTCCATGACCACCTGAAGGGGAACCTCAGGAGGAGCCGGGGCCGCCAGGAAACAGGAATTACCCGTCGATGAGATCGCCCCCTTCCCCCAAACACCCCTTTCCCCCATTCCGCCTAGCTGGTTGAAACACGCAGCTTGCTCCCCCCCATCGGGCGTTGGTGGCGTTGATGCCCTGCCGAACGGACAGCAACGTCTTTTTACCATTTTTTTTTTCTTCCTTTCCTCGAGGACCCATTCCGTGTGAACATGATATGCAATGCAATGCAAGCCTGCTCGTGCTCTGCAGGAATGATGGATGGATGGATGGATGGATGGATGGATGAATGAATGAGCATCTTCAGCGCGGATGTCATGGACGCCAACATTTGGTCGTTTGCTCGACCAGGAACTGGGCTCCGTATCCAGGGCGGTCCTTCAGCTTCCGGGAGAAACGAGACAACCGATGTGAGACGTCGTTGTCTCGTCCTTCATCCCCTCCCCTCCTTTCTGGGGCATTCTGTGTCTTTTATCCGCCGCCGAACATGATACCACGTGTGTCTCTCGGCAGCAGACGGGGTTCCCTCGTGGTCGCCCCGCAAGCCAAGGCACGTTGCCTTACCTTACATAGGCAGCTTGATATACGTTATGTAGGTACCGGTAGTGTAGAGCGAGCGTACGGATACGTGGCGCGTCAAGGTACGTCCCGCGCTCGCGCCGTCTGACATGCAGCAAAAGGGGGGAGTGGAAAGGCTGCAACGGCAACCAGGGCATGTGCATCCGCGGGGAGGGGCACGGCGACTGCAAACCCCTCTTAATTTTTATTTAATTTATTTCCTGCCTCTTCCCTCTTGTTCCTCTTTTGCAAAAAGAAAAAAAGAAGAAAAAAAAAACTCCTCACTCGTGCCAATGCCCCGACGTCGGTGGCGATGACCATGCCCGTTTCAACACGACGTCAGGTGTTACCTACCGAAATCCATCACGTCTGTCGTCCGACGCTTGACCCTTTTACAGCAGTTTGCATCTTAAAAAAAAAAACAATAGGGCGGATGGATGCTGAGCGTCTCATGACGTACGGTGACGAAGACGGCCTTTCCCCCCCAACGGGCCTGAGCCCCCTCCTTCTTCATTTACAGAATCAAATCCAAGAAATGACGATCCAATGAATCGGCGGCTCTTTCCCACTTAGCACTTGCTTAGATGAAATTCTTTTTTTTATAAAAAAAAAAAAAGGCTTGGTCGAGTATCTCTCCCCAAATAGACGCGCACGGACGAGGCCTGGTTGCCCAAAACGCCCACATCGCATCTACATCTACATATAGTACGCAACCCCGTGGCAGCGTCAATATTCTGCCGCGCACGGTATTTGCTGTGCCCTTCCAAGCCATTTTCGGGCTGTTTAATGCGCCCAATGGACCCAAAAAAAGCCTGTCGCCGTTTGATGACAAGTACGTTTGCGTCGTCGACATGTGTGAGTGGAGGAACAAGGGGGAGGGGGCCAGCACCAGCATGGAGACATTACGCTGATTGCAAAGCCCGCGAGCGAAATTCCAACACGCTCGATTCGTGTATCCCTTCCCGGCGCATTTGGCAGTTGGAATGAGGTCTTCTCGCGGCCTCGGCAAGAGGGGCCATCGGCCATCTCGGCCGGCACTTGCGGTGAGTAAAACATGGCTGACCCGAGGGCTTGGAACGGGGTTTGGATGGGGTCGATGGATTGGCTGATGGATTGCGCTGCGCTGCGCTGCCCTGCCCTGCACTCCCACGCTCATTCCTGCAGTAGATTCGCGCAGCCCTCCGGAACCCTGGGCTGAATGTGAGGCCTCTGTCGTCCGATGAGCTCTTTGAAAGTACGCTTGAGAACTAGAAAAACAAGGGACGATGGCGCAATCGTTGGTTGCAGTGCGGCGATGCATCGATGATTGGAAGAAACGACCGTTGATTATCAAATCCGTCGGCTCCCCGGCGGCGAGAGCGCCTAGCCCGTCTGCCCCTCCTCCCCCTCCCAAGCCGAGGGGGGTTCACGCCACTTTGCTCCGACGTTCCGTCATGGGGGACGTACCACGGCCGGCCGTTGAAGAATTTCCTTACCAGTGACTGACTCACCCGGGAGGCGACAGCCAGGGCAATCAATTTAAGGGAAACATTTCGGAGCTTATATCGAATTCGCCGAGAAGTTTCCTGTGAAGCCGGAACTTGGGGGGAAACTCTCTTCACCGATAGTTCATCCCGGCGGGGTTTTCTGGATTTTTCGTTGATTATTTTTCATCATCTTTTTCTTCGTCTAGTGGGGCCCCCTCCAACATTGACGTTTGCGAAGCCATCATGAACGGCGCACATGGCACAAACGGCATAAACGGGCACCATGCCGCCCCTTCAACTCTCAAAAGAGCCCAAGAAGTCGAGGATGTAAGTAGCCTGGTGTTGTTAGTGGGCGGTGCACTTCCTGCATCCGATCCGTCTGACTGACACGTCTCCCCCTTCTCCCCCTGCCTGCAGCTACTCGACGCTGTCAAGGCTCTGATCGTCCCCTACATCAGGGTGGCCGACGAGGCCGCCGGCCAGAAACCCGGCGGCAACACCTCCGTCGACATCCAAGGGGTCCCGCGCAACGTCTTGGTCGACACCCACAAGCCCGCTGCGCTGGCCGAGAAGCTCAAGTTCTCCCTCCCCGAGGGCGCTGGCCTCGGGAAGGATGGCCTGCTCGACGTCGTGCAGAAGATTCTGAGCTACAGTGTGAACACCTGGGACCAGGGCTTCATGGACAAGCTGTACGCAAGCAACACTCCGGTATGTCGGCACCGTCCGAACCTGCCGAGAGCTGAGCTGACGTGCTTCATAGGTTGGCCTTGTCTCCGATCTCCTCCTCTCTGTTCTGAACACCAATGTGAGTTGTCTCTTCGTATCCATCTCGTCAGGGCCATTGTACTGAACCCGCAGTAGAGCCACGTCTATCAAGTCTCGCCCGCGCTCAGCATCATAGAGAAGGTCACGGCTCGAAAGTTTGCGAACCTGTTCGGCTTCGACGGGCCCCGCGCAGGCGGCGTCACCTGCCAGGGCGGAAGCTCTTCCAACCTGACGTCCCTCGTCGTCGCCCGCAGCGCCCTCTACCCGGAGACAAAGACCTCCGGGAACGGCTCGCACGACTTTGTCGTCTTCACCAGCGTGCACGGCCACTACTCGGTCGAGAAGAGCGCCCTGACCTGCGGGCTCGGCGCGTCGAGCGTCTGGGCGGTTCCCGTCGACTCCGCCGGGCGCATGATTCCCGACGCCCTCCGCGAGCTGGTCGTCCGCGCCAAGGCGGAGGGCAAGACGCCGTTGTACGTCAACTCGACGGCCGGGACGACGGTGATGGGCTCGTACGACCCGTTCGAGGAGATTGCCGCCATCTGCAAAGAGTTCAACCTGTGGTTTCACATCGACGCGAGCTGGGGAGGCTCGGCCGTGTTTTCGGCGGCGCAGAGGTCGAAGCTAAGGGGCTCGCACCTGGCCGACTCGCTGACGGTCAACCCGCACAAGATGATGAACGTCCCAGTGACGTGCTCGTTCCTCCTCACGCCCGACGAGAAGGTGTTCCACAAGGCCAACACCCTGCCGGCGGGCTACCTGTTCCACAACGTAGACGAGACCGACGATGTGTGGGACCTGGCCGACCTGACCCTCCAGTGCGGCCGCAGGGCTGACAGCCTCAAGCTTGCCCTGGCCTGGATCTACTACGGCGCCGGCGGGTTCGAGCGGCAGATCGACCACGCCTTCTCCCTGGCCGAGCACCTCGCGACGCTGGTCGAGCGAAGCGGCAACTTTGTCCTCGTCTCGCCGAACCCGCCGCCCTGCCTGCAGGTCTGCTTCTACTACGCACCGGGTGGCCAGCTCGCCGAGGACTCCGAGACGAACACCAAGCGTACCGGCCAGATGGTGGCGAAGCTCATCGGGCGTGGCTTCATGATTGACTACGCCCCTGGCGAGCGGGGCAGCTTCTTCCGCGTCGTAGTCAACTGTCAGACCCTCAAGGGAACAGTCGATGGGCTGTTCAAGGCCCTGGAAGAGGTCGGCAAGGAGGTCGCAGTGTAGAAATTTTGACCTGGCCGGTCGTGGGAGCTTTTAGATGACATGGATGACGAGAGCCACGGATATTAGACACGCACATATATGGCCTGATAGAGACATATACCGAGAGCCATCAGCTTGAGTTTGACAAAACTGAGCCGGGAACATTTACACACGAATAACTCCGAGGGCTCCTAATGGCACCATCTGCCAGTTCTAACGAAACATGATCCCGTAGAGTTAGTTCAAGAAATCGGGACCCAGAAGCTTCGCATGGAGCGATCGATGTATAAAGTTTGAGACTGAACGGACGAGCAGGTGCGGACAGGGGTCTGGGCGGTGGGGTAGAATGGCGATAAGATAGATGATAAGATAAGCAAAAGGTTTTTTCTTTTTTTTTCTTTTTTTTCCTGCTCGAGAGTTCAGCGTCGTTTTCATTGCGACGAGTCCACTGCTGCACCGTTTCTCCACAACTCAACCTGCACTCTGCACCAATTCAAACCTCCAGTCACGATGCCGAAGCCAAGAACGAAACGACAAGCCATTCGCGACGAGCGGAAGAAGAAGAGGAGGGAGACGCATGAGGAAACCCACGAGGAGAACCACGACGAACGCCAGTCCAAGCGGAGACGGGTCGACGGCGAAGATCGGGACGAGGATGAGGACACTCAGCAACAGACGTACAACGATGCGGGCGACCACCCGCAGCCGTTCCATGGTAACGGTCCCGAAAAGGAATTCTTTGGCATGCTCGCGGACGAGGAGCAGGAATACTTTCGCCGCGCCGACGAGCTGCTCGAGCTGAACCAATTCCCCTCCCCCGAGGAGCGCCACGTCTTTCTGCAAAACGTCTACAAGGAGGCGCGGGGCAAGGAGCTGAAGCTGGCCAGCAGCCAATCATTGTCGCGCCTGATGGAGCGCCTGATTCTTCTCTCGAACACGAGGCAGAAGAAGCAGATCTTCAACGCCTTTGCCGGCCACTTCCTGTCGCTCGTCCAGCACCGCTTCGCCAGCCACTGCTGCGAGAAGCTGTTTCTCGAATCGGCGCCAATCGTGACACAGGAGCTGGGCGGGATCGTCCCGGAGACCGAGGGCAACTATGACGAGATGGAGGTCGAGGAGGACGCCGAGCCGGACAACACCATGGAGAACCTCTTCCTCATGACGCTGGACGAGTTTGAGGAGCACATGGGCTTCCTCCTCACGGACCGTTTCGGATCACACACTCTACGTGTGCTCTTGGTTATTCTGTCGGGCCGCCCATTGGATGACTCGTCCACAAAGTTGCTGCTTAAGAGCAAGAAGAAGGAGTACATCTCCGTCCAGGGGGCCACCGGTGCCTCGGACGAGCTCACCCACCAGCTGAGAGCCGTCCCGGAGTCCTTCACCCAGGCCACCAAGAAGATCATTCAGGACGCTGTGGCCGGCATGGACTTCACCGCCCTGCGCGTCCTGGCCAAACATCCTACCGGCAACCCTCTCCTCCAACTCTTGCTGGAGCTCGACATCTCTCTGAATCACAAGAGCGACAAGAGCTCGGCAGCGGCGAGCAAGGACACCCTGCTGTACAGACTGCTACCCGACGCTCCCGCGTCCCTCGCCGACGAAACCTCGCAGGCGGCGGACTTTGTCAACAGCATGGTCTACGACCAGATCGGGTCCCGCCTCCTCGAGACCCTCATCACCAACTGCCCCGGCAAGGTCTTCAAAGCGCTCTCCCACAACTTCTTCGGCGACCGCATCGCGACGTACGTCCGCAACGACATCGCCTCGTACCCCGCCCTCCGCGTCCTGAACCGCTTCAGCAAAGACGACCTCGTGGAGGCAGTCAAGAAGATCATCCCCGTCGTACCCCTCCTGGTGTCCAAGGCGCGGTATAACGTCCTCAAGACCCTTTTTGAGCGGTGCGATGCGCGCGGTGCCTACGAGGAGAAGAGCGCCCTCACCAGGGCGCTGACCGACGCCCTGGGCCCCAACCCGAAGGACCTGGTCCCGAAACTGTGCCACCTGGTCGAGGACGAGTCCGCTGACAAGGACCAGTTCCAGCAGTCGCCCCAGAACAAGACCGCCGTTGCCGCCCACGGCTGCCACCTCGTGTCAACTATGCTCAAGACCCCCGGAAACGCCTCCAAGGTGGCCCAGAAGTCCCTCGTCGCGCTGCCGCCCGACCTCCTGGTCAAACTCGCGACCACAGCGATGGCGTCGACGACCGTTCTGACGACAGCCCTTGCCAGCCCCGCGGCGCCGCAGAACGAGTTCTTCCACAAGGCCCTCGTCGGCGCCCTCGCCCCGCACGCCGCGGAGCTGGCGCAGTCCCAGTTCGGCCACAACGTCATCAACGCCATCGTCGAGATCCCCTCGCGCGGCACGGACCGCTGCGTGCCGTTCCACGTCAAGCAGACAATCATCGCCTCGCTCGCCGGCCACGAGCGGGCGCTGCGCGACTCGTGGATGGGGCGTAGCGTGTGGCGGACGTGGAAAGGGGACATGTGGAAGACGAGACGGTCGGACTGGGTCAAGTGGGCCAAGGAGGTGGACGGCCCGGCCGAGGAGACGAAGCTGAAGCCCTGGGAGAGGAGGAAGCTGGAGCAGCAGAAGGGCCCCCAGCCAAGGCAGCCGCCCAGGGAGACGGCGAAGGAGGACAAGGAGTGAATGGAGCGCTATTTTGTATGATACCCGCCATCGAGATCCAATCGAACTTCTTACCCTTGACCAATCAAGATTGCTCCGCGGTCCCAGCTCGCCCGCCGCTCATTATGCATGGTTTAATGTTATTTCATATTTGTATATTGTATTGCTTTCTTCCTTGTTGGTTTATTTCCGTCGTCGCCAAGCCGGAGGGGGGGCGGCGACATTGGAGAAGCTCATTGACACAAACGAACTCATCAGACCCCCCCCCCCCCCCCTTCAAGGGCATGGGATGGCCCCCGGCTTTGTGTTGGGACAACTTGGTTCTTCTTTGAACGCTTGCCTGATGAGACATGTTCGTCTTCTTGTGTAGAAAGGGGCCGCCGGCCTACGTAGCGCGTGCACGCGACTAGACGAATGGGCTGCATGTGCTGTGCCCGTTGCTGCCCGCCCCTCCATGAGTTTGGCACGGTCTGGCTTAGATGTAGCCTTCTAAGGTAATGTAAGCCGCAGGGTAAGCTGGCTCTCCGGCCGTCGGGCCCTGGTCCTGGCCAAGGCGTATCCAGACCCCAAGAAGAAGGGTCGTAGTCATCGTGGCGCGATGGATGTCAATGCTGCGAGAAAGTATAGATCGGACGGGGAACCTTACCCGAGCTCACGACCGGCAAATGGACTTGTTTTTGATTCCCCATCATCGAGCCTCTCCTAGCTGCCTTGGTCACCTCTCCACACTCACTTCCGGCGCGATACTGGCCTCATCTACACCACCCCGGACAGCCAAGAATCTTCCCCGTCCGACTTGCGTGGTTCGATGAGAACCTTCCCTCGGAGGGGGGCCTGATGCCATTCTTACGCTCTCCTAGGATGTGTCATGACAAGAGCGAAGCCCTTGGGCATCTATGACCCCTGTCTTGGCACCGACAGCTCGTTATAGCTCCTTTCATCCCCCCTCGCCCCTTTCTTCCGTACAGCGCGAGACCGGTTCGCCCCGATTAACACGATGCACCACCGCAGCCTGCTGCCCCTGGTGCTCTTCTGCATCGCGGCCTCCGCGGCTGCGTGCCTCCCCCGAAGATGCATCGTCGCCACGTCCCGTGAGACCACGTCGGACGCGGCCGCCATCGCCGACGCCTTCGCGAGGTGCGCCAGCGACGCCGAGATCATCTTCCCCGCCGGCGCCGAGTACAGGGCGTACGAGCCCGTCGTCGCCACCAAGCTGAGCAACGTCGTCATCACCGTCGACGGCAACCTGAGCCTGCCGCGCGACATCCCCGCCCTGCAGAAGCTCGTCGAGGTTAAGGGCGGCCGCCTCACATGGTTCCGGCTGGGCGGCACCAATGTGCAGTGGATCGGCTCGTCCAAGGTACGTCCCCGCCCTTGATCGCCTCCCCCCCTCCTCTCCCCCTCCCGCGTTTGACATCTCGGCGGCGGCGGCGGCGGCGGAGGGTGGGAGGGAGAAACGAGCAGGCGCTCATGCCGTCTTTCGCACAAAACAGCCCGACGCCGGCTGGATCAAGTCGTACGGCCAGGCGTGGTGGGACCTCAACAGGCCCGGCGAGGCCGGCACGCCCAACCGCCCGCACCTGATGCAGTTCAACGTCACCAACGGCGTGATGCGGAACGTCAAGTCCATGAAGCCCATCGGCTGGAGCTTCTCGATCGAGGGCAGCAACATCTCCATCTCGGACGCCGTCGTCGACGCCCGGTCCGAGGACGGCGGCGGCTTCCCCTTCAACACGGACGGGTTCGGCGTCGGCGCGACCGACGTCACCATCACGAACAGCAGGATCCTCAACGGCGACGACGCCGTCGCCGTCACCGACGGCGCGAGGAACGTGCTCTTCAAGCAGGCGACCATCGGCTTCCAGACGCACGGCATGAGCGTCGGTTCGCTGGGCTCCGACGCCTCGTCCTCGGCCGACGTGCAGAATATCCGCTTCGAGGACGTCACCGTCCAGGGCGGCTTGTACGCCGCCCGTTTCAAGAGCTGGATCGGAGGAAAGGTAATGAAACATCCCCTCCCAGTCCAACTGACCTGCGTGGTGGTTAACTCGTGGTGAAGGGACTGGCGAGGAACATCACGTGGAGCAACATCCGCGTCGACAACGTCACCTTCCCCATCTTCGTTACACAGAACTACCAAGACCAGGCAAGCCCGGGCTGTAACAGGTCAAACAGCTCGTCCGTCATGATGGAGGATTTCACCTGGGAGCACTTCTCGGGCAACATCAACACCTACAACCCCGGCGATGGATCCTGCACTACCAACGTACGTCTTGTCCATTCACGCTCCTCCTTGATGCGGAAAGAGTGAAAATTTCGATGCTAATGATGGTGGTCGATAGCCTTGCTGGTACAACTCAGGTCTCGTGAATCCCACACACACGGAAGCCGTCATCATCGGGTGCAGTGATGGGAAGTCTTGCAGGGGCTTCCAGACGAGGAACATCAGGATTAATCCGCAGAGTAGGACGGTGCCAAAAGTCATCTGCATGAACGCGGCTCCTGATCTGAACCCCAACTTGGGATTCGAGTGCGCCAACGGCACGTACATGATTTCGCACTAATGGCTGTCCGGCGGTACAGCGTGAATTCCAGCGCAGTAACATAGAGCTCGTAGTAGTCAAGTGGTATTCAGTCCAAAGAGCGTCTGTCTTTTCATACAAGGGGACACCAATATGAGAATCGGCTGGGGCTATCTAGCTCTGGCTCATTCTGTCCGGTGACCATGGCTCTCCAGCTCCTCAGACCTTATGCGTCCTTCGGCTCAAGGGGCAAGTGATGCCCTGTGTCCGGTAGAACCATCGCGAGCTCGTCCACAGTTTCTCTTCAGTGTCCATCAGCTGGATCTCAAATCTCGAGACGAGGGATGGCACGATCTTGTAGAGTTCCACCATACTCAGGTTCCGCCCAAGACAGATGCGCGAGCCGCCACCAAAGACGATGTCGGCCGCGTTCCACTGCCGCATGCGAAGCTTGTAAGCCTCGTCGTCTTCGGAATCCTGCTGCAATCACCGCTCCGGGCGGTACTCGTCTGCATCCTCCCCGTAGACGCTCCCGTTGCGCCCCAAGACGTACGGGTTCATGCCGACGAGGGAACCAGCCGGGACCACCGATCTGTCCGGGTGGGCGAGGCCGCCCTCGGGGACGATGCGCTCCATCGTCATGGCGACGGCCAGGTGTTACCGTAGCGTTTCGCGGCAGACGGCTTCGAGGTAGGGAAGCGCGCGAGCAGCCGCGTGCGGCGCCGGCTCGTCGCCGGGGATGTTGGCGACGATCTCGGACTCCAGTCGCTCCCAGATGCGGGGGTTCTTGAGGCAGTGGTAGAAGAGCGCACGCATGGTGGTGGCGGTCGTATCAGCCCCGGCTAGCACTGTACCCGTGTCGAACCGCCGTTCACCCTGCTCGCCGCCACTGAGCCCGGGAACCTCAAGGGGAACTCACAGTTGAGAAGCAGATATCCAATGATAGTCCCATTGTCGACGATTTCGGGATGTGTTTCCCTAGATTCGATAAAGTACTGCAGAAAGTCCGGCTTCTCGGGGTCGAAACCGTCCTCACCCTTCAGCCGCGCTGTGAGGCTCTCAATTGCGATGCGGGTGACTTTGGAAAGATTGGGTGGCCCGAGGTGGTAGAGAGGGTTCTTGTCCAGCAAGTGATCCATCCACGGCATCTGTCCGCACATGCTGAAGTAGTCAATCGTTTGGTCCCCGATGGCCAAGGTGCCGTCGAAGTCGCGGCCCTTGTCCATGTAGCCGAACTTCTTGCCGAAGGTGACGAGGCCGACGAGGTCCCATGCATCTGCGCGGTCATTTGATCAGCGAACGAGCACGTTTTCCCAGCACCCTGCAGCCCGGCGACGAACAGTAAGACAGCCAGTCCCCAAACAGGCAGGGCTTGCCAGTGTCGACGAAGCGGCGCTCGAGATGGTCGCAGAGCTCGGCAATGCTCTTGTCCATGAGCGGCTCCATTGTCAACACACTAGACATCGCGTGGTGGCGCACGACGGGCCTTTTGAGCCGCGCGTGCTCGGCGTTGTCGGTCTCGCTGAACATGTGGTACGTGATCTTGCCATCGATGATGGTGCTACTGTTCTTGTAAAAGTCGGACTGGAAGAGCCGTGTGGCGTCAGCAGGGGGGGGGGGGGGGGGGCAGTCATTGTCCCATCCTTCGGTATGTAAGCAACCCACCTTCTTCCATTTGATTTGGGTGCCATAGATGACTGGCCAACTCCGGATAGTCAATGTCCAACAGGTTGGGTCCGAGACGCACGACTGGGCCGTGCTTCTCGTGAAGTCTTTTGACCCGCGGAGCGTAATCGGCGGAAACGACTTGCCACAAGCGCCACAGGTTTGTCCATCCTAATGGGCGTTAGAGGTCGGAATGATTTCATATCATCTCCACAGAGTTATACATATGGAAGAGGGAAAGCTCGTGGAATAGGCGGTACAAATCTTACCTGCTCGGACTGGATAGCAAGCTACAGTTCAGACCGGGGGCAACAGCGCCTTACAAACCTGGTCTGGGGAGCCACTTGGCCTAAACAGGACGGAAGAGATTGTAACAGAAACTCTTAAGATTTAATTATAGTCAGTAGTCCACTTAAGTGCCCTTTGCCCTTGACAGGGACGTCTAGGCGTTAAATACTTAAATATCACGGCGGTAATACTGTGTTAGTTTAGCACATAACTATATTTCCTATTATAAGAATTTAAAGGCAAAGAGGAAAGGAATCTACACTAGGGGGCTAGTAGTCCTACTAGCTATTATATAGCTATTAATTCTATTTATAAATCACCTAATAGTTCCTATAACTAGGGGTTCTAGTTCCCCTGCTCTTTAGTAGATCCTTTAGTGCTATAAGGCTTACTAGCTACTAGGGTAGGGGTGTACTAACTACTAAGGCTAGGGGCCTTAGCTACTAAGGCGTAAGGTATAGACTACTATAGCTATAGTATACTTACTACTAAGGTATAAGGTATAAACTAGCTACTAAACTATATTATAACTATATTCTTATTTATATATCCTCTATATAACCCCTCTAGCTATAATATTACCTTTTTTTATAAGCTATATTATTTATAATATATATTTAGCTTAAGTTTCTAAAGTATATAAGATTAAATAAGGTTTTAGTAGCTATAAGTTAATTTTTTTTTATTTTTTTATATAAATCCTTTTATTAGAAAATATTTTTTTAAACTAAAACTATTATAAGATAAGGTAGTAAGTGCCTATAGTTAGGAGATAAATAGATAGTAAGAACTAGATACCTAATATATATATAATACGTTATATATACCCTAAGTATATATCCCTTTAGTAAGTAACCTTTTATAAAAAGAGGGTTAACTATAAATACACTTACTATCTATTACCTATTTTATTTTATATTATTTATTTAGCTCCTTATTATTATTTATCTTACTTTACTACTTTACTATTACGCTTTACTTTTATACTATATTACTTTATAACACTACTATAGCCTAGCTTTATTTTAATAGAACTATAATAGCTATTAAGAAGGCTATAATAAGTAGTAGTATAATTATCTTAATTTATACTATTTTATTACTCTTACTATTTTTATTATTTTTATTAAGTTTTTTTTTTTTACTACTATATAGTAAAGAAATATATACACCTTAATAAAAGTAAAAAACTTAAAGATATAGTATACTAAGAACACTTTAACTTAAATAAATCTCTAACCTTAAGTAATTCTATATATAGCTTTAAGAAAACTTAACCTATAAGATTACTTAGTAGCTACCTTAAAGCCTTTATAATAATATATAATCCCTTATAACTATAGAATTTAATAAGGATATACTATACTACTTTAGTAATAACTAGTAATAAGGCTTTTAGTTAGATATTAGCTAGCCTAATAACCCTTTTTAAATTAAAAGCACCCTTTATATAGTAAAAAGGATTATTAGAGATATAAGAATTAACTTACTACTCTTATTAAGACTATATAGTAAAGTAAAAAATATCTAACTATCTTATAGTAACTTATAAAGCTCTTAGTTATTTAAAAACCTAGTTATATTAAAAAAGAACCTAACTAAGTAAATACTACTTACCCCTTAAAAAAAGCCTCCTTAATAACTACTATTAAATAAAGATATTATAATAAGTAATACACCTAAATAAAAAGAAAGTATCTCTTTAAACCTATTATCTTTAAAGTAAATAAAAGCTACTATAATAATATAGTCTAAGTTAAAAAGTAAAAAATAAGAAATTATAAGCCTACTAAGCTATAATATTACCTTATTAGTAGGCCTACCTAAACTATAGGTTTTTACTATATTAAGCTAATTTCTAAATAATATAAGTTATTATACCTAAGGCTAATAAAAATAAGATATATACTTACCCTTAAGGTAGATATAATACTTACTACTTTTAGCCTAAGGTTAAGTAAAAAATATAATTCCCCTAAGTTAGTACCTTAGTAAGAAGGCTAGTACTATAACTATAGCTACCTAATTAGTAAAGTTAGAGTTAATAGTAAAATAATTATAAGAACGCTAGAACTTAATAAGTGTAGCCTAGTTATAAAATAACCTTAGCTAGTAGGGGTAGTAAAAAAGCCTATAGTTAACTATTATTAAATAGTAAGGATTATAATAGTTACTTTATTAATTATATAATATGTTATATATATCTAGTTAAAATCCTATAGGAGTAGGGAAATCCCCCTATTTCTTAGTTAGGAAATCCTAGAGAAATCCTAGCTATATTTTTAGTAGATTTACCCTAAAAGTAGGGCCCTTTTACTACCTATTCCCTAATTATTTACTATAAGGTAACTATATATTTACTAGTTAATTTATATATAATTCTACTATATTTAATACACCCCCTTAGCGCTAGTAACGTAGTTAATTACTATAAAGCCTGCACTAAATATCCTTTATATATAGCCTATTTATTTATTAATTATCCTTTAATATCCTATATGTTTTCCTCCTTTATCTAGTAGTAAAGCTTTACTTTATTATTAGCTAATTCTTACTATTAATTTACTTTAAGATACACACGTTAGTTACTTATATTTAATTAAGCTATAAATATAGTAAATTATAGCGCACTCAGCGCCTTTATTAACCTATTAGCTATTAATTTAGTAGACTTCTTGTATTTAATAGTAATCTAATTTACTACTACTTCTTATTATAGCTAGTAGTTATAAATATCTATATACTATAGCCTTATTTATAGTTAGATAAGCTTCTTAGTAATAAGCCTAATAGTCTAGGTATTATTATAGCTAATATAAATAGTTAGTAGCTATTTAGTAGCTGCCTGCTTATTAAGTAATAATTTAGTTCCTATTTACGTTAATAGTTAAATACTTAGTATAGTAATTAATCTACTAGTAAAGAGCACCTCCTTTATAGTAAATAATAAGGCTAGTAATTTAGCCTTAGTAGTTAATATTATTACTATATCTTATTTATTAGCTTACTAAGAGATAAGCCCTCTAAATAGCTTTAGTGCGTATACTTATAAGCTGTAATAGTTTAGTAAGTTATTAGTAAATAAGGTGTTTAAAGTAACCTCTAACGTATTATCTTTACTACCTAGCGTTACTTTATATTTAAGGTAAAGGTACTATATTTAATAGAGATATCTAAGCACTTAATTTATTACCTTTTAGTAATCTAGATTTAGATTATAGTTAAAGCAGGTAAGCTAGCTAGCTATAAAAGTAACGTCTAGCTAAGTTATTACTACTATATATAAGATTATCTTTACCTTCTTTTAATATTAATTAACCTCTTATAATAAGGCTATATATTTACTAGGTAATAGCTTAGCCTTTACTATAGGTAATAATTTGTTATATTTATATTTATTATTTATTAGTAGTAGTTTTATTATTTTATTATAATATACTACTTATAAAAGCTAGAGATAATAGTTACTTTAGTTATAAATTACCTTAAGGCTAAGGAACTACTATAATAGGCCTCTGCCTTTAAGGTAGTATTATTACTAAAGAGCTACTATCTTATTACTTACTTACGCTTTATCTATATAGTAATAGGCTAATATATAGTTATTAATATAAAAAAAGAATATAATATAATTCTTCTTCTAACAGTAGTTCTTACTAAGCACTTAGTAAAAGCCTTATATAGTAAGTCCTTCTTTAAGGTGCTTTTACTATAGTAGTAGTAATTACTAAAGCCTATAGAGTGCTTTTAATAACAAGAAGATCTAGCTAGTAATTTAGTAGCCTAGAGGTATCTCTATAAATACTACCTTATTAATAGTAGTATAAATAAATATATTTACTATATTATATTAAAGTAATTCTAAATTAAAGTAAGTAGCTATTACTATAAGTATTTTAAATAATATACTTACTAATATAGCTATATAGGTATCTTATAAATCCTTTACTTATTAGTTACTATAAATAATAAGTTTTACTTTAAATTTAGTTAATTAACTATATTTATTAAGCTTATAGGTATATACTTAGTAGTAGCTAAGGATTTAATACCCTTTAGCTACTACTTATAGCACTATTACTTAAGATTTTAATATTTTATATCTATATAGATATACTTTTTTAGCGTCTTTAAATTACTTTTTATATAGGTAGCTTTTTAACTATCTATAGATTAGTAAAGAGTGTAGTAACTTCTAATATATACTTATTAGCCTATAAAGTCTAGTAACTCCTCTATTATATACTAGTAATTTACTAGTAACGTCTTTATAATTATTATACTTATTAAGTGTTATATAGTTAATTAATTCTTAGCTATAGGCGCGCTTTAGCTAAAGGTAGTAATCTTTACTTGTTAGTTAACTTTATAGTATACTAGACTATATTATCCTTATAAGCTGCCTTATATATAGTTTATAATTTTTAAAATATAAAGTAAGCCTTATAAGGAAAGCAGCCTTAAAT